ATCTGCGAAATGTGCATATTCTGCCTCAAAGTAGACAAGTTCAGTACATACTATTACTCAGTTCTCTCAGGAGGTGAAAGCTATTTTACCTTTTAATCAAATATTATCTTCTTTCTAAAATGTTTGTTTCACTTGAAACTAAATCCTTATCCTGAGAAGCACGGCTGATGTTCTTTTCCTCCCTTTTCTCCAAGGGAAAAAAAATAAAAAAAAAAAAAAGAGCTTTTCTCTCCCTCCTTACCCATCCTTTTCCAATCTCTCTGGCCCATAAACAGGTCCCATTGTAACCATCTTTATTACCATAAACCCATGGCAGCAAAGCTTGCTTTTTGCAGATACGTCTCCGTTTAATTCATGCTATTTCTTGTACTAACACATGTTGAAAATTGTTTATGTGTCAAGTCCTATGCTTAATATTTCTTACAGTCTTTTCTCACCTGGAAGAAACTCAACTACTCAACTGGTACAGGTAACTGTTAGGGAGCAAGGAAAATATGTCCATGGAGGCAGGCTAAGGGAACTGGGGATTTCTCAAAAGGGGGAGATAATGCCAATCAGCACATATTCAGACAAGAGTCACGTTTTTTTCACAGGTTCGTTCAAGATAATATCAGACAGGATCATTCTTTTACAACTTAACAACTTGGGAATCAGAAAATGCTGAAATGTGGTGCCGTAGAGGGAACACTTTCAGATATTTGCATAGGAATGACATTGTGAACACACGTAACTGTATTTTACTTATACCCAGTGCAGCCATTGGCCGACACCATAATACATAGGCTTCCTAACATTAAAAATATAGGAGCATTCAGTATTCATCTACCATAAACTTCCTATGCTTTACAAAGCAAAACAACAAATAATAAACTGTAACATTAGAGATAGTTTGTTTCCTGAGCATAGAAAAGGCATGTTGTTCAAGGTCTCTTTTGTCTTCTGATAAGTTTCAATATTTGGTGCAACAGAAGAAAATAGCTGCATGTGTTACTCTCACCTGTAAATTATCTGACCTTCTTCATGCTGAAGGACACAGACAACATACTTCCAAACATAGCTAACAGCTAGCTATTTCAGAGAAATACATGGAGTAAAGTATACTTGAAAAGGTAAAATGGATTGATGGACAGAATAAAGGCTCACAAATTGACATTTATTCATTCCTGTTGCCACCAGTGACTTGGTGTCATCTGGGGCAAATCTCTTATTTGCTCCATACCATAGTTCCTGCACTTAAAAATTTTTAATAGCCAAAAGGAATCTCATTAAATCCAATTAATGGTGTTGGTCTCTTCTCCCAAACTGCTAATGATAGGGGGAGAGGAAATGGCCTGAAGTTGCACCAGGGGAGGTTTTGATTGGATATTAGGAAGATTTTCTTTACTGAGAGAGTGATTAGGCACTGGAATGGGCTGAGAGGTGTAGTCACTATCCCTGGAGGTGTTTAAAAAATTAGTAGGTGTAGCACTTGAGGCTCTGGTCTAGTGGTTAGGGAGATGTTGGGATGAAGGTTGGATTTGATGATCCTAGAGGTCCTTTCCAACAATAGTGATTCTATGATTCTAATGGCAGTAAAGTGTTTTGAGAACCTCATACAAAAGGTTCTATAAATGTACAATATGTCATCATATTGTACTGTTCCAGGATCATCTGACACACTTCTGAAATACATCCATTGATATAAAATGCAACATAGAACCACACAGAAAGAATGCACTTAGGAGTTAGTGCTAGAAATCACACACACCAAACATATTACTTTCCCAAAGCAATTACAATTTCAGATATACAGATAAATTATAAATATCCTTGATGAAAGTTGTTCAAGACACAATGCACTTTCAATGCAGAAGGTATCCTCACTGTTTTAAAGAATTAACTTGCTTTTGATTCACTAGATTGTCAGCAGGGGTTAACCAACAACTGTCTCACCTTTGAGATTTCTTACCTAGTACTCATCCTGCCCAGTCTTGTTTAGCTTATTATGATTTCTGATGAGATCACTTCCTCAGATGACACAGCTGCAGGCAGCTTGACTAATCTCAGTTTTTATATGTAGAAATGGAACACTTAGTACCATTTGTAGATAAAGCAGATTCAGTTGATAATGTTTCATGACAAGACTTTTTAGCCTGTAGTCCACAGAACAGCCAGTCAGTACTGATGTTCTGAGGCACAGCTGTCCCCAGGCTGCACCTCCTGTCACCTCCTTGCTTCGCTTGAGGCCATGTAGTGGTTATGTACTTTCCTGCTCAGGAGTAAGCGAGAGTAAGCACTTTGTCCTGTGTTTGTCCTAGCTGACTTCTGACTGACTTCGTAAGTGAGAACAGTTGAGTAAATGTAAATACACAACTGCATTTTTATGCTGTAGTCTCTCTTGTGTAGGAGATGTGATTTGGGCACTGATGTCATCTTGTTATGTCTACTTTTGGTCATCTCGCTAAGGTTCATTTGAAAAGCAGTTTGTTGTAGCACTTTATTGTTGTCCGAAGGTGAATGCAAAGATTCTAGTCAAATAAAGATCTTGAAAACTATTTCTATTCTAGCTTTCTAGTAGAGGTAGTTATGAGTGTTTTTGTTGGGCTTATTTCCAGTGGGCTTGTTCAGTTTTACTATGGACTTACTTTCTGTTTATTATCAGAACTACTGTTGTCTGCAGATTGTTTATATTGTTCATAAACAACAACATTTGTTCAAGGGGACCAGTTATTTTAGATTCAAAATGTCACAGTCTTACTTTTACTGGAACTATGTCATCCTTTCTCTCTTTGTCGTTCAGGTATTTAAGTTTGCTTTTGTCTTTTGTGATGAATTCTTAGATATCTCCTATCAAATATGGGAAATATATATATATGAGCATTTAGTGGGAGGTTAGATTTCTGAATTTTGTCAGTTTTATGAAAGAACTTCCATAAATCTTAATCCAGAAAAGGTGTATTTGGAATGGTCTGCGTGCCTCACAAGAATTCTCAGTGGTTAGCAATTGAATTTTTTTTTTGCATTTTCAGATGTTTTCTTTCTTTTGCTCTTCCATTTGTGTCGATCCTCCATCTAAGCCCTTTTGTATCTCCTGTTTTTCCCTACCTTCCTTTTCACTCCTTTCTCCATGCTCCTTCTGTGCCACCTCACTCTAGTTGGCTCCATTTCCCCAAATGCCTTCCCCCTTATCTCTATCCCTTCTCAACCACAACCTGTTGGTTCTTCTTTCTCTAGAGCCCTAATTAAGAATGTAGGTAATATCCTGCTTATTTGCACTCAGTCTGCAGTGCTGACTGGCAGACCTTGTGAAGCTTCCACATCTCCATATAATGATTAGTTTGTTTACACTGTTTCTTCTTACCCAACATATCTGGGTCACAAAATATTCAGTCATATCTGATTACTTCAGTTATAGAGATAAATTTTTTCTATCATTTTGACTATTACTAGCCTTAAGGACCTAAACCCCACAAAATGAGCTTGATTCTGTTTCTGTATGTGTGTCATTAGTAATATTGTCTATTATGGTTCTGCTAGAGGTAGTCAGATCTATTAGTGTAATCCCAGTAGCAGTAAAGAAACTACGAGGATGTCTGTAGGTGTAATTGTGCCTACATGCTTGTGTATTTGTATGTGCATATATAAATATAGATGTGGAGACAGTTTTAGGGAGGCACTGTTTTTTTCTAGGGATGATGCACAGATGGGAAGGAATGAAACCTGGCTTTTGAGCAGGAGTACTGAAAAAGAATTATGCTTACTTTGAATGACAACCTGAGAAAATAAACTTGGAATTCTTCTGCATAATTTTTTACCTTCAGAAATTAAACTGTAATTTTAAAGTTTTGCTTTCTATTTTCTCATCCTCAAAGATCTATATCAAGTCATACATCAGAACGCATATAGTTCCTTCCAGCAGCCTCTGAGAACACCTTTAAACTAGAAATTAATCACATTTAGGGAAGTAAAGCAATCAAGATGTAGCAGATAGTCTACTAGGCAAGGTGAACCTCTCATCTGATAAAGTATTGCCATTCAATTGTTCCCATATCACAGAGATGTGGGAGAGGTCTTAGATCAAACATAGACTATATGTTTTCATAAGATGCACTTAGCTTTTTTCTTGGCTTTTTGGATAACCTGCTTAAGTCAAAGAATCATTATTATTTGTAATTTTGTGCTAGTGTGCCTGTCCTTTCTCGATTCACAAAATAACAACCTGTTCCGAGCCTCAGGTTTTATTGCAATGTTTAAAGGTAGTTCATACTAGAAGTTTATCTCATGTAGTAACAGATATTCCATAGGTTATTTATTATGATGGAAACTCTTTGTACAGTCCAGGAGCATTCAGACCTTTTAAAGGAATTATGAGGTAGGATCCAAAAGGCATGCAGTGGGCATCTGACCCTCCTTTTTCTGTTCTCTTGTGGTATTGCATGAACATTACAAGTGGCCAAGGGCACAGCTGGATAAGAAATAGCCTGCATTGACAAGAAATCTGTCACAGGTTTAAATTAGTCATATTCTCCAAAATTAGCTTACAGCAGCAGTGAAGAGTCTTTTCTATAACCCTGTCCAGTTTCTCTCCTTGATTTAGTCTACCCAAATAGCACAGACTTCACTGACAAAGAACAAGTTTCCTACTGGAAAAGGAAGCTCTCTTACTGAAACTTTCTCATACTGTTCACTAAGTTAGTAATTGTTCATAGCTCACAGACTTCAAATTTTTTCTGCATTAACTGTTGACATTCACACATCAAGGCCTTTCAGCTAAATGCTTATGTCAGCAGACAAACTGAAAGTTTAGTATTGGAGAAGGTTACATTTTACTTCACAAGGGCCATTAATTTGTAGGACTGCCCATATGTGATAGTATTAGAAGAACATCAGCCCTACCAAAGGCTCTGCTGTTCATTACTCATGTTTCCTGATTACATCAAAATGATTGTACTTCTTCTTGTACACAATTAATGTTTTCTTTCCAAAATATGTTCCTCATTATTAATTTTGTATCTCTATAGACACTTGATGTGACAGGTGAAAAGTTTGTGTTGGATACACTAGCTGGATGCATAGAATATAAGCCCTTACTGGATGTAGTAGTCAATGCCTTTTTTGTTCGGGACGGGAGATGCTGCCTGATTTCTGAGCGTAATCTCTACAGAGGTAAGTTTTCTTTGAAACACCAAATAAGTTTACCACAGAAGTTTTAAAAGGATTATTTTACTACTGTAGATTCTGTAGATACTGTAGATATATTATATTTGAAGCACTGTCATTGTGCCCCGTGCCCCATGAGGTACAGGACCTTCTCCAACGGCCTTATGATATGAAGCCTAAATACTGAAATTGTTACTCAGTCTGGACTCTTATAGATGTTGACTGGAATTTTAACTAAGAAAATTCTGCAGATTAAGTGACATACAGATGGAAAATAACATTGTTGGCTGCAAGAGGTGTCTTGGAAGTTTAATCATCGCTGTAAAAAAATGTTCTTCAGTGATTTCTCTTTGTTCTCTTCTATGCAACCTACTTCCTCTGCCATTCAGATCTGAAATTGTCTTAACAAAGCTCTGTCTGCTGAGAACACAGCATGTCTCACAGTATGAAAATACGATTGCCTCTATCCATACATGGATTTCTTCATTACTGATCATCACAATAACATAAACAGACTTCTGTCTGTCTCCATAAATGAGGTCAATTATTTTCCTTTTATTAGTTACCTTGTTAGAATCAGTTACAATACAACTGATATGTCTGATATATCTGAGCTAGTTAATCAGAGTAGTTACTACTGCCAAAGTTATTTTGGGCATTGAGAAGCACATTTAAAAATAATTTAAAATGTTTTTATGCTATGCATTTCATACGTATGTACTAAGTTTGAATGAGTAAGTCCTCAACTAAGTTGGAATTGCAAAGTGCACTGGCATTGGTTCTCTAAGTCACATATGTTCTGAAACTTTGTGGGTACTTTGAAAAGTCTAGTCAATTTAATTCAAAGTGGTTGAAAAATTTAAAAATAAAAAAATCTATTATATCTACATTTTATGTTTTAAAAACGACTAAATTTGTATGGCAATTATAGTTTCTTCTGTCACAATCTGTAAAGAAATCTCAATCAAATAACAAATGAAAAGAAACTTTCAAGTATGAGATTAATAGTATATTGAGTTTATTCTAAAAGGTAATGCTTCATTGTCTCCATTTCTCCAAAGCCATGGTTTTTACTGTCTGGGGCACATAAATTATACTCTAAGCTGAGGTTTGCTATAATTGGATTGTCAGGACTGGTCCACTCAGAAGCCTAGATTAGTCATAGGCAGAGGGTAGGCCCTAGAAAATTTTCCTTTATCAACAAGTTGAGAGTCTAAGGTCATTGGCTTATGTTGTTTTAAGCTGCTTGTGATTCCCTTTGCCAAGCTGCATTGACACTTAAAAGATCAAAGCTGCTTAGAAAGGCTGTTGCTATGTGTGAGCAGATTTGAATTTAATAAAGCTTGTAGGAGATAAATGTATAGTCTCCTAAGACTGCTTAAATATGTTGCTATGCTAAAGCACAAGACTGAAGCCTAACAATGTGCTGAGTTGGCTGCAGCACATTGGTCAGAATTTACTGATTTTATCATTAGTGTTTGGCAGCAGCTAAAATACTGCAGTGCAAGTGAAGCCTGATTGATCAAAGTGAATATGGGCAAATGAAAGCTGATACAGGAGCTCAGGAACTTTAAAAGTCTGCAAAAATCTCACAGCACTGATTGTGCCTCTTCTGTATCAAATTGCCTACTTGCCAGGGGGAAGTGCATGAATCAAGTTTGGATTTCCCAGAGAATTTCACAATTTAAAAATTTGGGTTTATTCTTATTGAGAATAAAAACAAAGATTGGAATGCTTTTTTGCAAAATGGACACTTGCAAAAAAAAAAAAAAGGAAAATAAATACTAGAAATATAACATTTCATTTTAAAATTTTTTGTTATGTATACTTTTATGTGTAATAAACTATAATTTTGCAGCAGCAGAATAAAAGCTATCCTCTCTGAAAACATTAGAAACAGTATGTTGAAAAATTCGCTGTCAAAACTTTCTTTCACATCTCCTGTTCACATTAAATTTCCTCAGAATGAACTTGCTTTCACTGAAAATTTTGGTTACACTAAAAGCTATCTGTTTCCAACAGTGTAATACTGTCAAAAACTTCTCAGTCATGCCTCTCAGGTGTCATCCTGTTCTCCCTGCCTTGTTTCCAGACTAAGAATTTTTCAATGGAATATGCAATATGCATAATTGTATAAGCTGGTACCACTACCCAAAGAAACAAGCCACCCTTTTTCTCATCACTGGCTGCTTATTCTCACCCCTATGGCACATCTTCTCTGGAGTTAGAACTTATGTTTAGCAGCCATCCAGTGAACTGGTCAAGAAAGTGCTTCAGGTTAAAATTCATCATCTGTTCTAACTTGGCTGTGTGGGTGGCTGTGCTTGCCCAGGAGAAGAAACACCAGGAGGCAAAAGGAGGGGATAAGAACAAGCAATTAGGGGTTGACAGAGCTGCTTATTTTTGTGATGATGTTGGCATAATGAAATGGCTGTGAAATCATGGCAAGATCTGACCTTCGGCCTCACAGGGTTCCAAAAGCTGCTGTGGGAGATCTCACAGTTCTGCAAACAGGTATTGGCAGACATCAAAAGGACCTCCATGACTGACTTCCAATAACTACAATTGATTTACAGTTTTTGTGTAAATGGCTAGATCCTCAGCTGTTAGAATTCCCTAAAACTGTGTAGATCTGCACTAGCTTGGATGACATGAAACAGTAACTAGTTTATATGAACTTTAGCCTATAGTCACAATGCTAATAATGAACATAGGGTTAACAGTACAACTTCATAGTACAATTTCTCATTTTCAAGCATTCTGTTGGCCAGTTAGTTAAACAATATTGATGACTATTTCAGTCTAAATCCCAGACTATGCTGAGTATAGGGTATAAGTTTATTAGAATTTCCTGCTGCATTTTAATTGTTTGTCTCTTTTGATAGTTATTTGTTATCTGGCTACTTTTCAACTAGAAGAACTTGGTCTTCAGCACTTCAGCAGAATTGTGAAATCTCTGGACACTGCAAAAATGCAAAAGGTAATGAAAGTACAGAACATTTTAAAAACCATAATTAATTACCTCTTCATTGTGTTTCATTAATTATTACTTTTCTCAGCCTTCAGGATAATTTAAATTATGAAATTAGAGTTACTTTGTTTAAATTTAGAAATTAAATTAGTATTCTCTTATCACAAACCCCTTCAATTTCTACACTTACACAGTGACTATCTCATATTCAGTCAAAGATCAATTTTAAAAGTATTTTATATAATCTGAGAAGGTAGAATAATCACATTATTTACAGTTCATGTGATTTACAGTTGCACCTCTAAGTTACATACTCACTCTGGGCTCTGCTCGCTTTCTTTCTTTGACTTTAGGCAGGAGAATTTTTTTCCATATGTAATGAATCTATTGAAATTTACAGTTTCTGCTGATTAGTGTTCTTTTTTCCTGAACAACTCACTACCACTTGGATTATCAAGCCTATTGTCCTTCCATCACTTTTTCGCCTTTCCAAAAAACAAGTGCTCATTTGGAGCTATGCATGTACCAATTAACCTGCTAGAACCTATGCACAAGTGACCAAACCATTGCTGCCAAATAGAAAGCATGACAACAAAGTTCTGCCTGCCTTTTCCTCTCCAGAGTCATAAATTTAGGGTTTGCTCCACTACTTGTTTGCTAATTTTCATGACATTTGTGGAAATATAAATATCTTCTCTTCCAAAATGATTGAAGGTGCTGATTTGCTTAAATGCTATGGTATAAAGAAGGGCAGAGGAATAAACTGAGCAGCAATGCTTTCTCTGAAGTCCTGTTTTCATAGGAAAACGGGCAAAAAAATAAATTACTAGTGACACAGCATATGTAAACTTTGATCATCCAGATGGTTTTAAGCATAGTCCAAACACGGCATCTGAATAATAAATGAGGAATTCAAGAGATAGGCAAATTAGTAGTTAATCCTCAAAAGGCTAAAGTTTATCCTTATATTGATTACTTGGAATGTTCATGTGGATGCCAGTATCTCTTTAATTAAGATAGTTGCTTTGTTTTATGCAGGGAGAGAGTAGGTTAGGTTGTCTGCATAATGTTTTTAGAAACACTACTCACTTTGGTCTGATAGGCTTACTATGGGCTTTATTCATTCCATTTAGACAGAAACATGATGCATTTCAGTAACTGTTAGAAAGAACAGAGAAGTGGCTGGAAGAATTATCATAATCTGGTAGACAGACAAATCACTCTGTCTAAAATGCTCTCCCAGCCCCTTCTTTTGTAAACATCCTAGGCACCAGCCCCTGGACTGGATTCATTTGAGCTCGTTGAGCTAGCAACACAGTTCTCCGGCTCCATACCAGTCGTCTGTTGTTGATTCCATGCACCTAGCTTTCCGTGGCTTAGGCATCCGTGCCCTGATGTCCTATTTCAGGTCATTTCTCCTTCCTCGTCTGATAGGGAAGTGCTGCATTATACGATGATCTGCACCTGCTACTTTTTTCCCTCTGTAGATGTAACTTTGTTTGCTTAAGGATCTTATCAGTTGCTCATCACCATGGTATCTAGGTTTTCTTCTCTAGCATTAGAAGAGGTTCTTTGTCTCAAAAGTGATGCTTGATTATATTAATGCACCTGCAGCAGTGGATTTAGAAGCAGCATTTGGTCCCCCCAGCAACAGACAAAAACAGCAGAAGGCAGAGCTGCAGCCTTAGCAACAGAAGTTATCAGAAATTTGGGATTCTTCTTCAGTATGCCGACCTGTACATTTTGCCTGATGATTACTGTGTCTGAGTTCAGTTGAGAGGCAGAAAAATTATTCACATATATTTACTTAGAATAGATTTACTTTAATTAAAAAATAAAATTTTCCTGCACACAACAGGCTGAATGGAATTTTGTTAATCATGCAGATAAACTTTACTGAAATGATTAGTATTCAGTTGAGTGAGATCGACTTGTGTGAGTAGACATGAGGAATCCATTCCAATCAAAGACACAGAGTTTCCATGTGATCGATGCATGTTCAAATATTTTCATTTAGGCAGAGCAGCCAGGCAGAATACTAATGCTCCCTTACCAACACATGTTCGTCTGCTCGAACAGAAGATCATGAGCTCTCATTCTGTAACGTGAAGAATACATGCAAAATTTCTCTATGGTTGTATAATTTCAGAACCATAGGATAAAAATTCTGTAACTTTAGAGCGATTATTATCCTAAGAACTTAGCTATGCACTGCTAGCTCAAGCCTATTTTTCTGTTCTATTATTCATACATGTTATTCTTTTATATTTGTTGTAAAATTTAAGGGTTTTTATGTTAGAGAAAATACACTGTGGAGATAAAAAAAAGTTGATGTAAACGGCCTTATAGTTGCCTTGTAAAAAATGCAGAATAACTAGTATTTTCTGTCTAGCACTGAAGAACCTGTTTGTTCTGTTTCATGTTCTGATTGCTTCTAACAGCAGTAAAGTCCTTTATAAAGAACATCTGAGATCTGGAAAGGAAAATCACTACCTAAGAGCTGGGTATTGTAATCGCTATTATGATGAGGTAGGAATAGTAGGACGAGATCAATAAGAAGCATGTCAGAATCAGCCTCATGGTGGACATGGGGGTAAAGTCCAAGTTTTTTTCATTTTCTACAGTGGCAGAAGGACCTGAGATCATGCTAGGACGCTTTGCTCTACAGCTTTGTCTCAGGATCCTCAAAATAGAGTTTTCATTAGAATTTCTTCATAGGAAAGCCTTTTTAAGAGCTTATTGCCTTGCTCTTCATTTCTCTGTTGCAGCTGAAAGGTATACTCCTGCAGGTGGTTGAGCTAGTGTAACTGTAGAACTGAACTACAGTAAGAGGGGAAGAATCAGCAGATGAAGAGAGGAGTGGATAGGAATTTCCATGATAGCCTTTGCTACCAGAGCAAATAGCTGTGGGCATGTACAGCCAAAATACCAGCATTCTCAGGGAGGGGCTGGCCTGTACAGAGAAACAGAACTTGCTGTTTCTTGCGGTTACCTCCCTAACTGAGGAAGCAAAACTGTATGTTATGAATAGAAGGATTTCAGCTCTGCAAGTACTACACAGGTGTAATGATAGTACCAGATGAGGAAATTTCTGGGTTTTTTTAGAACTCTATATAATCCTGCCATGTAAAACTATGTTAAGAATATGAGCAGGGTATGTTCAAACTCTCAAAAGCAAGGTATTAATTCAGCCCACATGTAAAAATGTATTACAAAACAGTCTTTAGCTATACACACTTGTCTTACTACAGACAGAATACATTAAAATAGTAAAAACAGGTACTATTCTATGACTGTCCAGTGACTTGTCTAAGGAGACAGATTCTGGTAACATCCAAACAGAATTCTGTGAGAACTTCAAGCTGCATTTTGCTGCTATTAAAGCAACAAGGGTTGCTGCCTGTGTCACAAACAGTCAAAACAAAACAGAAACATAAGGGATTTTTCCTAGCAATTCAGTTCACAAACCTCAGAAGTTTCTATTGTTAAGAAATAAGATGTGCTACAGCTTCATGGGTCTTATTGTGCTAAGATTTGCATCTGTGATACTGATGATCAAAACCAAGGCTGGGGACTTTGGCTCAGACAGGCTCTGGTCAGAAATGAGGGCTGGTGATCCTGCATGGCCATCTGCAGTCCCTGCACTGCCTGGATAACCATTCCAGGGCTGCATTCAAAGCCTTCTCTAGTATGATGCATACTGGGGCATATCCTTATTGTAGCATTTCTCTGGGGACTGTGACTAAAACACTACTAAAATATACATCACAGTATTGATATCTGATTACACGGTTAACCATTCTCTGTACCTCATAGGAGTACATCATAGCATTTATCAATCACACCATTACCATTTGTCTTAATACAGTGTGAAATGTTAATAAGCAGTAATTGCAGTCGGAGGCCTCAAGGGGTAATAGCCAGCTGCTAAATACAACACCTAGAAATCACTAACTGTGTGCCTTTATTATAGTTTCACCTGCCTTGAAGAGGAAGCTGAGTTGCAAGTACTTTGTAAAAGATAGTTAAAGCAAATATTTAGAAGACCTAGATGGACATCAGTCAGGGAGAGCTGAAAGAACATTTCAGAGGCTTAGTTTCATGTGGGAATGTAGTAGACTGATGACTGAAGCCTCTGAGGATGGACTAGGCTATAAAAGAGGACACAGTGAGGAGGGAGTTCAGCTTAATGAAAGCTAGGGAATGAAAACGGGAGGATTTACAAATCACTATCTGCAGTATTTCCACCTCAACTTCTGTGTGCTCTCTGAATAACTAGAAATTTGAAACTAACTTCACCCCTCAATAAAAGAAGAAACCATATTGTACAGCAGTTACTATAGTTCTCAGCAGTTCTCCATGCCCAGTTTCCAGGGAGCTGAAAGGAACATAAGTAATTCAGGTGCAGTGCCAGGCCTGATGTGTTTCTGGACACCTAGCTGTAGATAATTCACTATGTTTGAAGCAAATTAAAGATGCACAATCATATCCACAGCTTGTAGGCCCTAGATCTTTTTTCAGGCCACTAAAAATATTTTAGGATCTATTAGTTTTTCACAAAACAGGGCTGAAAGACATGGGGCTGTCCTAACAAAACCAAGAACTCACAAATATTCAGCACCTATAATTACAATTACCGGGTAAAATACAAGTTCTTCAGCAGTGTTTGCAGTAAAAGCAACTGTCTTTTTGTAGTCTTATATACACCATAACTTCAGTATTCACATTTAAAAGATACCACTTATTATTAGTTTCTTAGATTCTTCTTCAATGCCTTATATTTGAACACATGGATAAAAGATGAATGGAGTCAGTTCTACGATTCGCTGTATGTAAAAGAGAACTGGATTGATCCACTGCTAAGGTAAGCAGAACTTAGGTAGCCTGTAGCCACCTCAGAGTTTAAAAGCTGGGGAAAGCTTCCCCTGGAAGTTCAATTTACTGTTAAAGTGTTTCTCCTATTGAAGTCACTCAGAACTCTTGTCTTTGTGAGACTATAGTAATCACTTTTACTTACCCAGAGGCAAGGTTCTCCTGTAAAAAAAAAGTCCTTTAACAGCTGTTGTACATTTGTTTCTCAGTGGCCCTGAATAGATCAAACATCATACTCAAGAAAAAAAAATTGTCTTACAGAGTTAGACTCATGCCTCAGAAGTCACTTCAACATCTGTATGACATTAAGCATTTGAAAAAAGAGGTTTGACTTGCCTGAGTTTGGCTTTATGCACAGATTTGTTTATGCCAATGGTCATAAAATCCCTTCTGAGCAAATCAGATAAGCATGTAAACAAGTCTTACTGAAATTATTATATATTTACACAACGGTGGCATCATTTAACAGTGTAAATGCTTGAGGTGGCAGGTGTAGCCACACAGTGGTTAGGTGGTGATAGATTAGCATGAATACACTTGTCAAACTGGAACATTTTCATGTGGAGAAACAGTAGCTCTGCAGCCTAGTGTGTCACTTTTTCACTCTTGTTTTTACCCAGGACAGGTAAATTAGAGCTAGCATGGGTACACTGGTGTGCCTGCAATCACAGATCCTCCCCACTGCAGCACAGATGAACCCAGATGATGGCAAACACTGTTAGACTAAAATACACCACAGACAATGGCAGCTGAAAGAGAGTTTGCATCTAGTTCTAACTGTCACATCAAAGTCAGTAAAATAAATCCTTCCATACCCGTGTAGATTGCGCCAAATTAGCAAATGTACACGATAGATTTGGCTTGCAATGCTCCAAATTCCACTGCATTCTACAGGAACTGCAGGGATGTATTTGAAGTCAGAATTTGACTCAATATATTCCACTGTAGAGATTCTAATCATAACATATGCTTACAATAGTATAAAGATACAGATAGAGATATAAACACATCACACAGTTTTCATACATGTATATACATGCAGTAATGTGCTTAATCTTTTGCTTGTTCCATAACACTATGGTTTTTGGAGCTGTCCTTCACAGTCAGTTTTGTTCCATACAATAAACGCATGTTTTGCCTAGTAGTAATAAATATAAGTTGTACAAGAATGTCAAAGACCATACTTGGTTACTGAGTTTGAAACTCCCTTCAAGGGAGCTGAGGATGTATTGATTAGTTTAATCAGTTCAGTAGCTTAAATTCTTTTAAATATATCTTTGTATCTCTCTTTCCAATGTCAATGTTTATATAATGTTTATTCATTTTAATGAGTCTGTGTTACTTGCAGAAGTCACTCACAAGCTTCACCACATAATGACAGTACTAGATAAGGTAATGGTCACATAAAGAACTTTTAAGTTAGCATTGTCAGCTGCATGTTAAGTTCTGGGAAAGCTCCACTGTGTGTGTAATATTTAAGGAGAGAACATATACAGAGGTGGAATATCTGACATTAAACTATGACTGTAATTAGCCCTGCGAAAGCCTGTTTGTGTCCCACCATGAATTCGGTGCCTTCCTGTGATTCCTTGGAAGAAGTCTGAACATTCATACATGCCAAAATCCACTCAGAGAAATCAAAATCATCCTGACTGGTGCACAGGGTTCATGGAGGGCTCATTTCCTAATTCACCTTTCTATTTCATTATTAGAACTGCCTGTGTGCTCTGTCACTTGGTAGAAGAGGCAATGCTCAGGCCACTGTTTTGTGAAACAGAGAGAGAAGAGACTCTCACAGTCTCTTCTGTGAGAGTGTCTCTTCTATGTTCATAGTCTCTAAGTATGCTAAGTGTGTACTTAGCTTACAACAGCTGCTTTTCTGATTCGTAGTCTGGTCCTGCTGCAAAATGAACTGGTGAGACAGTTGCTTATTCAATAAAAACTGTGGCTATGCAGTCTGAGGACTGGCATCTATTAAGAGGTGAAGTAACACAGTCCAGCTAAACCAGCACAAATTCATAGCTCAATTTTATTAAAACTGAATGGCTGAAAACATTACAGGATTTGCACCAATGCCTACCTCATATATTGCGTGTATGTTTTTATGAAAGAAAAGAATTTTAATCAATTGAAAAATGTGTTTTTATTTGAAGATGGCAGCCAAAAGTACAGCAACTGATTGAACAGCTCACAGATAAGCTAAGTAATCGTACTACCACTGTCAAGACTTCAACGATCACTCGGCCAAAGGAATTTAATTTGACTGTACCCAAACCACGTGCCATTCCCATACCGCTGCCAATGCCAGTACTGGAAAAAGGGCCACCTGTAAGGTTTTTTTTATGCTTTGAGAGATACTAAGTTTTATGAATGCTTGTGCACAAAACTATGGGAGGGAAGTTAACAATCTCTTTTAAAATAATAATAGAAAATCTACAACCTTTTACAGATACACAAAGATTTTTGTAATATTCTTTGTTATTGGAGGTCAGATTTCTAAAAAAAACCCAAACTAATTATTTTCATTTCATTGCCTTTGAGTAAACAAATTGTAAGCCAAACAAAGGAAAGGTAAAAGGTTGGTTCCTGTAGTTGGTTTGTGACTTTTGAAGGTGGAAGTATACAATGGGTACAAATTGACGACAGCACTGATACAAGTGTTTCTGGTAGTCCTTGGACTTGTAAGATGTTTGCTTTGGATAATGCACTGAAGCAAGTAAGAAAAGAAAATTCAAATGAAAATATTTTATAAACTTAGATTTTTTTGTAGATGAACTATCATTAAAGTAAATGGCAAAGAAATTTCACTGGAACTCCAGATTTGCCGCTCCTTCTTGAGAGTGGAATTTTATTCCCTTCTGTTTGCATTAATGTGGAATCTCTAAGGTTTTTCAGTTTAAATGTATAGCTCACATATAAATAAGACTAGCTTTATATTTGGAATTCTAAGCGTTTATTTTGCTCATTGTCTCAGATTTTGATCCAGTTACATTGGTACAAATCAGAGACGCACAACTGGTTTTAAGTTAACTCACTGGGGTAAGGCAAACAGGATTTGGGTTCAAGCTGCTATGACTAACTTAATAAAGACTCCAAAATCATCTATATTTAAATGCAATGGGAAGTAAGCTTGGAAGTCACAGTTTTGGGCTTTATCTGCCACCTTGTATTAGCACTTCAGGTTTTAAATAATGTATGTGTTGAAGGTTCTTAGAAACCATTTACATCTTAGGATGGCAGAGCAATTTAATGGTAGAGTGTTATACAGTTAATGGGATTTTACATTGAAACAGCTTAATACCAGGCTCTGAAAAACTGCATTTAATAACTACTTAATCAGAATAGGAATGAGTCATATTGCTGTCATTTCAGTACCTTTATGCTGTGCAGTCCCTCTTAGAATAAATTTGCTTTAATGTGGATGCATTTACTGAAGTTCATTTGTGTTGTTAGGATTACACTAAATTTGATTTACATTTTGGCCAAGTCTGCAAATTTTAAAGCTTGTGTGAATCTAAAACCATTAGTATAGGAGTTACATAAATTGTGCTAATTTCTGTACCAATCTCAGCAAAGAAAGCTTCACTTTAATTTGCCATATGGGTTGCCAGTATCACCATTGTAGATCCCGAAATGAACAGAGACTGAAAAGACAGCCCAGATGGCAAGAAAGAGTTAGTAAAGTGAGAGCAGGCCATAGTTTTGGCTACTGTTTGGTAGAGTTGTGTGTAAAGGAGAGGAGTGCATAAAAATAAACCTCTTCCGGATTACATCTCATAATCTGCTGCAGAAATGCTTTCATCCTTTTTCTCAGGAAGTTTTTTATGAGATACCCATTTTTTCTCATGTCTCTCATGCACGTGTCAAAGAACTTCTCATGTGGCATATTAGCAGGGACTACTGTAGTCACAATAACTACAGGTGTAGTTACTGCTCGACTTTGAAACCCTGGGATGAGTTCATATGGGGGCATCTGGATTTTGAGCAGTGACTACTGCTAAGTTAGTGCATCCCCATGGTGAAATTCGTTCATTCCAATTACTAGGATTATGTTAGGTATTTCTTTCTGCTAGGTTGCATTATATTCTATAGTAGAGATAAAGTTCGAAGTGAGATGAGATGTATCACCTAGAGTGGGTTCAGGAGCTGGGATGGTACTGCTGCTCTGCACACTGAACACAAGCTTCCTTGCAGGAGAGTACAGGAGATGTGGGTTAGCACAGATGGCAGGGTAGCTGTCTTAGTGGCCTATATTGAGGTGGGACTCCCCACTGACCTTGGAAAGGTTCATCTGAGTAAGAGTCCTAGAAGGTTACGATAATCATTCATCATCATAAACATGCATCAGAAACGGGGGACATTAAATGAAATGGAGAAACATTTTAATTTTGAAATTTAATCATTGAATGTTTCACTCTAAATATTCAGTCTAAAGATTATAAATTCTTCTCCCCTCTGTCCTTTCCACACAAGCACATTGATACACACACAGGCATGCACATAGGCATATGCACATTCATAAATACAGTTCTACAAACCAAAATGAGTGCTTTGGCTTGAAGTTTGCAATGGAAACAAATGGAGACAGGTGCTTAAGCCTGATAACATGCAAAATTATTTGGACACATTTAACTTCCGTGGATATCTTGGCCTTGAGTTACAAATAAAATCCATTCTTTTAATATTACCACTGTACCAGAATAATAAGATTATGCTAGTATTTTATTTTTAGATTTTCTGTAAACCAATAATGTAGTTAACATTTAAAAGGCCACACTGTTATTGAAACATCCTTCAGCCAATTTAGTGTATTTTTTAGATATTTTTTCTCATTATTTCAGCTGTGCTTCATGAATGGAGTTGATGATTTTTTAAAATAATTAAATGGGTGCATTCATTTGGCCAGTACAGAGGATTTTGTTTGCAAATATATAGACTCAACAATATATTTATCTTTCTGATCTTGTCACGTATAAAAATAGAAGCTCTTAATACAGCAGCATTGCATTAGCTTGCCCTTGTCCATCTTACAGCAGTAACTTTAAAAAAAACAAATGATGACTACAAAAGTTAAAAATTATTATTCATTTTTTTGTTCTCCCTTATACTTCTTCTGGTGCCTACTCCCTAAGTAAACCTCTGGTAAAAGAATATTCAGAAAACCTGGTGAGCTCAACCACTGTAGAGGAAAACAAGGTTGGTGTCTCTTCCTACCAGCCCCCTTTTTTTCACATTAGGATTAGGTAGCTACAGTTTGGCCTTTTTGGTCTCTCCATTGCTGGAATTTACAATTTACTTGTAGTGATTTATACATCCTCTTCCAGCAACTGGGTAATTGCTGTTTTGTCTATCTGATTGGTACTCATCACCATGGTATCTGAGGGCTAAATTACAAGGCTAAGATAATTTTTGAAACAGAGCTGACTGAAAAGTCTCCTCCTTAAATTACTTGGAATAAGCATAGCAGTTTCTGAGGAGAGCTTTTCAGCTTGCATGGGCAGATGAGTTTTGCAGGTAAAGAACATGACTAGGAAGAAGAGTGAAATTAACTGACACTCACTGCCTGTGCAAGACTTTGCAAATCCTCTGGGCTTTAATTTCTCCATTCTTAAAAGTATAATAATATTATTAGATACTATTGGGAAATAGTTTCAGATCTACTTCATTTAAAAGGCTCACAAACATACTTGAGCAGTCTCACCAGTGCATTTAATTGCTAACTTATTCGTTTTGTACATTTGTTTTGCCTGTAGGTAATGATGTCAAATAGAAAAGGTGGAAAGTACATCAGATTCATGATTTTTTAAAAATATAGCTCTTTACATAGTCAAATAAAGCTAGATGGGATCCACACGTCCCCTAAACTGACCACCAGTACAATACAGATTATAGATTTCCCCCACTAATTCTTGAATTCTGTAACTTCTAATGGAGCTAGAACACTTTTATCAAGATAAATATCTAAGCAGATGTCCAGTAAACTAGCAGACTATCTCATGAGATATATTTTCAGAGTTTGCTTCTGGGCAAAATTTATTGCTCAAGCAAATATTGAAGTCCCCAAGAAGCTTCAGCCTAACCCAGAGCCATACAGTCCCTAGTCTCCTGTTGATCCGTACAGGAGCTGGATGATAAGTCTTTCCTGGTCATTTTATCTGCAGCACTTTCTAACATGTGAATGCTTTTCCAAATCTTTGACTAATGCTAGAAGCATCTGAAGTCCCAGTCCTCTACCTCCAAACTTTTAATCTATGCTTCCAGTAGTGTTCCCCTAGCAGGGCATTAGGACAGCCATAGTAAACCAGAGCAAAGGCCCATTTTGCCCAGTGTATTTTCTCTGGCAGTAGCCAGACACAGATGTCTGGGAAGCCTACAGGGACAGGACAACCACAGCTGCTGCTTACTCCAGTTGCCTTCTCAGTCTCCCACCATTTCAGCTCAAAGACTTCCTCAGTTACAATGAAGTTCCTGGGTATTTAATAAACTTCAAAGGATTTCTTTCTCTTCCCTAAACTTCTCTGGACTCTCTGTAACTTGTTGCTACTGCCAGACTGTGCCAGAGAGCTCCACAGCTTAGCTCTATCCAGATGCTCTATCTGGCCATCAGTGCTGTGAAGCTGGTTTATGATATGACAAACAGTACTCTTCCCCTTCTGGCAAGTTTTTTTTTTTTCCCTGGATAGGGCCTGTAAGGATTTATTATTTCTTTAGCCTCCTCTCTTGTACTAGTTTCAGATTCTCCTTTCTGTCTGCTCTTTTGACCAGGGATTATATTACATTGGACACGACTGAAAAGCCTGGGTAGTCCCAGCTAATTGGAATCTGTCCAGTCTTCTACACTGGCACTAATAGAAAAGAATCAATATTTAAAAACTAACTGCAGCTGTTCTACAGTAAAAGTGCATGTGTTTTTTTTTCCTGCAAGAATGTGTCACTTGGAATGTTTTATACCCCATATTGTAGAGATCATTGCCTTTTAATATAGGTTCCTCCAAGCACCTATAAAGCTCCAAAGGAAAAAAAGCAACTAGAGGAAATCAAAGCAAAGAATCGCCGAAAAGCAAAAGTAGGTGTATTATGTTCTTCTTCCAGTCTTTCCTTTCTTCTAAATGGTTCCTTCTGTAATGTTCCATTTTCACAAGACTTAGAACTTTATCTGAAACATACTCGCTTTGCTTTTGCTCCTCATAGCTCCTGCCTTTTTCTCGACAGTCATGAAGTTTGTATCCTCTATTCATTCTATCACTCTTTTTCCATCTTCCTTATTTTATAGTTGTCTGAGACAAAGTCCACCTTTTAGTCATTGTACAAGTGCTATGTGAGAAATGCAAATAACCGTGTAAGGTAGCAGAAACATGATTATTTTCTTCTCCTCACAAGCTTGAAATAGTTTGATGGCTCTTTTACTTCCACAGGACATGGGAATATTTAAGGTATTCTATTAATAAATATATCATCATTAAATGAATTATTACATTATTTATTTGCATTATATTACTAGCCCTTACTATTTAAAGCTTCAAAATAAAATATCTGTTCAATTTTTTATTTTATATAGTAACTGATAAATAACCCCCTGTTTTAAAATATCAGCAGATTGTGACTTCTTTTTAGTGCAGACTCCACACTCTTCCTCTGAGCAGGCTGAGAGAGTGGGAAGTCATAATGATTTGTGAAAAAACAGAGTACATGGTCTGTGTGTTAAGCAAGCAGGAGAAGGGAAGGCCTGCAAAAACAAAGAAACGGGTCTAGTTAATTGATCCAAACTTTGATATGAATCCTGCTCAATGTATTAGCTCCTATCATAGTTAAAGCAGATTGTTGTTGTCTTGCCCAAGGAAGGGAATTAAACATCAGGTTCCACTTTTTTTCTTCCTCCCTCCTCACACTGCAATCACCATATCCAATCAAATAGCAGTATAAGCTTGATGAAAGGCATGCTGTTTGACTCCTTTTTATCTGTACTCTCCCACCCCCCTCCTGAAAATGCCTTACTCTAACTTTCACTAGCCAGTACAAGTCCATTTATCACAGTTCTGGGCTCTTCTCGTGTCCTTGGAAAGGGGCATTGGATACAGTGCCACAGTAAATGCTTTAACGCCTGCTAGATCCTAGGGGGATAAGCTCTGCATTCCTTTTGCTGGCCCGCCACATTGCCTATGCTTGCTACTTCATTATAAAACAACACAAAATTGCCTTTTATCCTTTTATTATTTCTGTACTGTGGAGAAAGCACACACCTATTTGTCTGTGTGCTTATTTGTACGTACAAACTTACTAAAAAACTGGGGAGGAAAAGCAAGAGACCACAATGATCACAGAGAATATTATCAAAAATCTACCACCATATAATCACTTAACCAGCCACATTCTTCAGTGGAGAAAATGCATGAATACAAGGAACAAAGGAAAACCACCACAGAAATTACAGCTGCAATAACAGCAGTTCTTGTGCCTCGGGAATGTTATAAAAGGCATCCAAAGCATTCAGAAAGGTCAGTTCCCTAGACTGTTTGCTAAACAACCTGAAATGTCGGGTTCTAAAAGAAATATGCATTAAAAATGCCATTTATTTCATAGCATTTTTGCAAAGCTATCCACACGAAGAAGTGAGAACACTGGAAGCCATACTCTAGGTGGTTATGGAAGCACTGATGTTATGGACAGCTGCTGTCCAGAAAGCCATTAGAAAATCTAGTCAGTGTTTCACAGCTTGGATTAGAGATTTGGTTTACAACCAAAAGAATATAGCCAAAAACTAGAAAAGTGTCTGCCTGTACTTTTCCCCCTTGAAAAAGACAGGTGGAATTACTGTTAGGGGTGTGCCTATTGGAGCAACCCTTATGATCTCCTGATCATAATCTTCTAATTTAACTCAAAACCAAAGCCATTGTTTGTTATCTATGTGGAAGCAGTTACTACCTATGGTGTTGATGTGCCACAGATAATTATGAAGCTTTTAAGGTGAATTCTGGATGAACAACATATTTCATATTGGCAGACCTATCAAAGGCCTGATCATAGAATCTTGGGAGGCTTTGGACTGGAAGAGACCTTAAAGATGATCTAGTTCCAGACCCCTGCCACAGGCAGGAACGCCTCTTATTAGACCAGGTTGCTCAAAGCCACATCCAACCTGGTCTTGAACACCTCCAGTGATGGGGCATCCACAACTCACCTGTGCAACCTGTTCCAAGGTCTCACCACCCTCATAGTGAAGAACTTCTTCCTAATTTCTAATGTTAATGTACCCTTTTCTAGTATGAAGCCATTACCCTGCATCCTGTCTATACACGCCCATGTAAAAAGTCCCTTCCCAGCTTTCTTGTAGGCCCCCTTCAGATACTGGAAGGCTGCAATAAGATCTTCCCAGAGTCTTCTCTTCTCCAGGCTGAACGACCCCAGCTCTCTCAGTCTGTCCTTGTAGAGGATACAACCAGGCAGAACTATGTAGAAAATCAAGACTTGTCTACTTCAGGTCTTTAATCTGGAATGAATATTTACATAAATGCTACATCAAGCTTTGATTCATTGGAAACAACACACTGGTTGGGGCTGCAAGGCTTTTCAAGACAGAAAATTCTTCTTTGAGAATTTAAATGAACTATACTCTACACTGACTGCTTTAATTTTAGGATCTGCTCCTGAAAGCCAATGCTAACCAGTTCAGGTGTGCAACCATGAAGTCTGAGAAGGGAGAGGTATGCTACAAAATACTTTATTACCTAAAAATCCCCCAGTATGAGGACAAAAAAATTACTGGAGTATTTAAAGATATCTCAAAATCTTTGAAAAGTTTTGTTTATTTGGGGCTAGGTATTATGTGCTGCCATTTATAGCTGTGCTGTCATTTCACATCTATATACACATTTGCCTCTTTGGATGCATAATGCACAATTTAAAGCTGGTGCTGCTTTATCTTCTTCTAATTTAGAGACAAACAGCCTTCCTGTGACACTACTCCAACAAGTCTCCAAACTGGCAGTATTTCTCTAAACCCACATATTATTTTTCCATTAACTTTTATGCCACAGAGCAGCCAAGCTGAGGGAATAATGGTCCCATTCACACAGAATTCTTGCTTTGTTTGATTCCCAGCTCACAACTATGTCACCAAATTATGCATGTAATATACTCATTTCAGCATCACATCTGCATATTCTATTCACTGTGTTCATCCCCATGATACCAGACACTTTCACATCAGTATCTATAGCTAACACCATAAAATTAAATCAATAAACATCAGTGGAATTCTACCACTATTTCATAACTTCGTGAAGCATGCTTTGACACTCTATTTTGTCTTCCCAATATCTATTTCGGTTAAGAGCTGAATATATTCATATATATAGGTAATTTCATCACCAAACAAAACATCACTGCTAGTTTTTTAGCCTTATTTTAGTCAATAAATTTTAATTAATATTTGGACCTACCTTTGTATGTTCATTTGATAGGAAATATTCCAACTAAGTTGGATGTACATGGCAAGTTTTTGTGCAAGTCACAGTTCCAAAACACACCACCTATGATCCTATGTGTAACTCTAGATGAATATTCAAGAGGAGTGATTTTTGGTAAATATCTATTTTCTTGCTGAGTACTTGAATATCTGTCCCTGAAATGAAATAATGTATCGTTTGTTTGAACTGCAGAATGCACATGACAATGTGAAGAGTAAACCAGCATTCCAGGCTCAAAAGATTCAAAGCAAGGTGAGTAACCCTTAAGGTACTGTTGTCAGATGGACTTGAAAACTTTGGAGTGAAAAACACACATGCACATTCTGTGGTGAGACAAACTCTACTGGAATTCGTGTTTTTACACTATGTTCTGTGGCCAGGGTCTATGGCTTATAAATTTTGGCCTGTACACCATTAACAATCCACAAAGAAGTGGTCAGGGAGCAATAGAAGTGTGGCTACTCCAGGAGGGAAGAGAGACAAGGAGCCAAAGGTAATGAAAGCACAGCCAGTGCCCTCACTAACCAGGCCTGACAAAGCTGGTGGTGGTGATGGGTTCCGCTGGCAGCAAGTCATCCTTTAGACAAAGCAAAGCAACAAATCGGGTCTGGGGTCCACCCAGGAAGACCAGTCACGAAACAAGGCTACAACAGCAACCCAGGTCCCTGACAGCAGGAGACAGAACTGGAGAGAGAACCAGGAGCAGAATTACCTTCAGTATAATGAGAAGGGACTGACACCCAGATCTGAGCTGAAGTGGGGCTCCTGGCCCAGTGAGCAGAGGTGCTTGGGGAGGCTGGTCAGGGCAATTAAGACCTGTTGGTTCCCTGAGGGCCCTGACAGGTATGCTGTGTGCAGTTGCACATTGTAACCATACTGCTTTAACTGTGTTTTGAATTACAAAGGAAGAAGTTTTTATGTAAAATGGCAGAGATTGAGAACAATTCACAGGAGAAAAAAAATGGTTTAAGAACTCAGCATACGCACAGAAGAATCTTGTGTCTGTAAATCACTGTTTCAAAATGAGATCCTAAAGAATGCTGAGCAATCATTCCAGCTAATGACTGTCTGATACACAATACACAATCAGTCTGGGTGTTTATCTTGCTTCCTTTAGACACATACTGAGGTCATAAAATTTACTATACTGACTGCTTCTCTGCTAGGATTTGAAGGGTCAGAGAACTGTAAAAAATGGTCTGCTCAGCCTTAATGGTGTAACACATGAAAAATCACACTCTGCAATAACTCCAATACAGATAAACTTTACTCTTACATCATTCAGTCTGTCATCTTTGATTTGTTTCAAGTTCATATGCAGAAGCTGCGCTTCTACTGTGACCTCTGATATCTTGTGAGCAGGACCACCTGCTCTTTAAAACTATGTATTTAGGTACAGATCATATACACTTTGGAAAGACTGATTCCCTGCTCAGGGAGCTGGGCATCTGGCGACTATTTCTAAAGCAAATCTGGCATTTATCACATACTGAAGTTATCTTTAGTAACATTATCACCTACTCAGTCTGCTTGTTTACAATCCAGCAACATTTAGACTACAGACAGTAGTAAGGTCCCAGTTAAAAATCCCCAAACAGGAAACATTTACATAGTTAACCCAAATGGGCATCGCATGTAATTATGTGGCCTTAGTTCAAGCCTCTGTATATTCCACTTCCTTCTCTGATATTGTAAAATACTGAAACCTTAGTGCAGATAATCATAGTCAATCCATCTGCCTAAATTACACAAAGAAAAATACGGATCTGACATCTTGTGGCATTGCTCAGGGCCACTTCTAACAGCTGCTAGTATTTCCTCTAGGAGCACAATCAGTTTTATATTCTCTAAACACATTTGCCTTAAATGTTGGTTAGGTGATATTCAAGATGCCACCATAACTTTCAAGCTGAGATAGCTTGACTTCCAAAATACTTTCTATTCCTGTTGCCTTCCTGCCTGTGCAACTGTGAGTAGCCAAATCCTAAGAGGGAAATTTATCCAAGAAGTATAAATAAGATTGCAACCTGCCCTCAAATTAATGAAATTGTACAATGGTTTAACCAACTAGTATTTTCCCTTCCTCTTTTTAGAACACCCGCAGTATATTCAATACATTTTTTTCCTTTCAGACACATTTATTATATGCAGCAGCAATTATTTCTCATTGCTGTTACAAAATAACTATTCATCCTTTTCTCTGGAAAAATGACAGAGTACAAATGCATCATCACTGTGTCAATGTGCCTCTTGCTCACATCAGGCCTTACTCTTTACATATTTATTGCTTTTGGTGAGCTCTTGTGTGTTCATTAGGTGACAGTAGTGAATACAATTTTTTTTCCACAAGAATTACGATGTTCTGTGATTTTCTCAATTACTTCCATTTTCTCATCTTGAAATGAAAAAATTCCATGGTACCACATGACATAGGAGAATCTATCTGGTTATTTTATGTATACCTGTCTGCATATATCTTGGGAGTACTAGTTATTTTGACTACATGGACTGTCATATTTGTGTTTCAGTGTCAAACAGCCATATTTCTGTTTAACAACCTGCAAAACTGAAGTTAAAAGTATTTCCTTGTTCATTCTTAGTTCAGTTCTCTATCCAAATTACAGTTAGTAAATACAGGACATGAAATCTGTATATATAAGTAATTGCCAAAAATATTAAAATTTCTAAATGTATCATAGAAAATGTCTATTCTAAGTAGACATTTTATAGACAGTGTAGTGTATAATAAGCAGGCTATGGCAGGAATGTTCATATAATGCAGAAGACTTTGAGAAGAGTTGAGGTAGGCCAAAAGGAGGAAATGACATAATTTGGCATAAAGAAGACCAAGTATAGCAAGTCAAACAAAAGAAATAAAATACATTGGTTTGGATTCTTTTCCTAAATTCTTCAAGTTATCATCATTTTGTCAAGCAAGAGACAGGTGATTAATTTTTTTCCATTAAAAAGTGCCATCTGTGTGGAAAACAGTAATTCTACTAAGTGAATTTCTAGGGGATAGCGTGTGTTTGCTATCCTCAGCCTACCTGATTAATATAAATTATAAAACGTCCTTTTCCCAGTTAGCTTTTGTACTTCAGGAGAATGCAGTACCATATTTGCAGTGTATAGCTTGAGTGAATGTGTATCTGTTTCTGAGTCGCTCATTAAGCTGTTAATTTGGAATTTAAATACATTTGTCTTCTAAACACAAAACTTGTCTGGATTTAGGTCAAATGTGTCATGACTAAGCTTTGTTTTCTGCAGGAATCATCCCAGTTCTTACCGTGGTTCAGATCAGGTCTGTTACATGTGTCTGCAGAGGTGATATATTTTCTGAAGAGCCTGCTTGTGCAGGGAACATTTTTAACGGGCAGAGACATTGTCCCCGTCCTCCCTCAGTATTTAGAGGTTGTCTGGCAGTTAGTCCTAAAGCAATATTTTGAAGAAGTGCAAAGCAGCCATAGGATCTAGTCAAGTTACACCACAATGCCTGAAAGTCGCTGAGAACTGTGCTTCACTTCCACTGTCTAGGAAATGGATACAGCAACTGGTGATACCAGTTGTCTTAGAAACTGAAGTTATAATAGTGATTATTTGTGAAACACTTCTGAGACCTTCCTGTGAAAGGTACTGCTTATGTTTTACTTTAAGGTTTTGGCTAACTTACTGGCTTTCAAAGAAGCAGTTTATTGTCTTTGTCCAAAGCAGATGGAATCCCTCCACACTATGTTTATGAGCACTGAAAGAAATGAAAGGAAGTGAACACATTCTATGGGATTTGACATGGTCCAAGAGTGATTACAAATTTATAATCCACTTGGGGGACTTGGCTGATTTCTTAAGCAGCTTGAGTGGTTTATGAACAGCATGCAATTTCATTGTGAATGTCAGATTAATGCTAGATGAATGCTTTAAGCAAAATTTATGCTGTCTTAGGTCGATTTATTTAACCCATTGAAATGTTTTTATACTCTGTTTTATGGTTTACATTGCTAACTGTAGTATATACATTCCCTCTCCTGACAGATTGACAATATACCTATTAAACTGAATGCTGCAGCTATCCTAAGAGAGGGTGCCCTCTATCAGCGGAAGATGGAACAGGAGCTCAAGAGGTACAATCACACTTCTTTCTCAGATTACTTTTCACATCCCTGGACATAGAAAAATTATCCACATTAAAAATAATTAACTAAGTTCAAGGTGAACTAAAATAATGGATCTGTTGTAAGGAATTACAAATTATTCTATAAACACAGCTGACCAACAAAGAGAAAAGTGGACTGAAATGAAAGACTACATTAAAGGCTTGTTTTACTGTGACTGTCTTCTGATTTAGCACTGTTTGCTTGTAACGTCCAATAAGGACCACTTGTTATATTTATTCTGATTCTCCAGAATAAATAATGACCCAAATACACATCTATTTCTGTGTCCTTTATAAAAGATGCATATACATTAAGCCAAATAATTTAATATATCTCCATTTTCCTCAACAGCTTATAGTTAACTCCATGCCAAATTGGATACTTGAACTTGTTTGTATGTGTATAAAAATACCTGTCTATGTCTAACACTGTAAGGTACAGAGGACTAAGGGTGTGCTGCTCCATTAGGCAAGATAAGACAGGAGCTAAGGGTGACAGCAAGACATGTAGGGACAATGTCCTCGCTGACGGCAGCTCAGCTCCCTAGGAGCCTGGCAAGGCAGCGGAACAGACCCAGCGACAGACAGCAGGGTCAGTCAGTGCTCCAGTGATTGACAGATGAGTCCACAGTGATGAGTCAGGACCAAGGTCATGCTAGAAAACCACGTCAACAAGGCAGGGTCAGCAAGGTGCTCAGCTGGGCACAGGCACACCCTCAGTGTAGCTTAGGCAAGGACACAGGCCATGAACATCAGCTAAGTGTGGCTCCCAGGAAGAGTCAACACACACAACAGGACTTCTCATAGCACTTCCTCACACAGCTCTTTTCACTCCAGTCTGATCCAACATCAGGCAGTTGCACTACATCCTAGGCAGGGGTGGGGAATAAGAGGTTGCAGCTCTTTGGTGCACTTAGGTCTCTAAGGAGTCCTCACATAAGGATTCCTCTAACATAAGGAATCCTTTTTCAGCAGCATAGGTTTTCAGTGGACACTAATGAGAGGGAGAGGGATTCCCCAATGGCCACTGCAGGTTGTATTCTGTAACTAGAATCACAGAACATTTTCACTAAGAAATTTAACAAAGATAAAACATATATCATGTCATCTTGGTTTAGTATTACTTCTAATCTACCTGACTGAGGAGGCTAAGCACTAAATATTGTTACATTTGAAGTCCCAGGATGACTACCCAAGACTGGATTTGGTGTTTGGACCTAGCAAATTTTGGTATATGGATCAGGATTTTAGCAGTAAGGTACTATGCATCACTCAGATTCTGTTATCAGCTATGTATGTATAGGAGCCATCATCCCTGGAGGTGTTCAAAAAATTAGTAGATGTAGCACTTGAGGCTGTGGTCTAATGGTTAGGGAAATGTTGCGATGAAGGTTGGACTTGATGTTCCTAGAGGTCCTTTCCAACCATAGTGATTCCATGATTCTGTATTCTGTGATTGAGGTTCTCCCATATTACCTATACTGTTCACTCTATTTGGCAGAATTTTGTTCCACTCAGTAAAGGAATAAATTCTTGCCATAACTTAACACCATTTCTTATTAATGAGTTTTAATCTTCAGATGCATTTAAGGCGCAGCAGATACCTACATACATGCATTGAGGAGCAGCAGTAAGACACAACCCACTGCATTTTTGTGTCTCTGCCCTAGTTCTCAGCTCATTCACTCCTCTGCTGCAGGACTTTGATGAGCCTGCCCCAGGGCTTTATTCTTCTTTTCTCTCTCAGCAGTGTGCAAAAAGTAAGAATATGGCTTTGCTTAATAGCTGAATACTTCTTTGCTTCATTACAGCAATATGATTTAATTGACAAAATACAAAACAGATAGAGTTAAGCAGAAAGGTTTCTAGTATTCTGTGTTAAAGTGCCCAAGAGGACTGCCAAAGAGAAAAGTTGTTCTTTCTACCTCTAAGCAAAGTAATCCGCTTTTCATGAGGAACCTGGTTCTCCCTGCTCCTCATGAGAATACATAGGTAGCTAAAGTTTGCCCTCTCTTGGGGCTTTGTTCTACTGAAAACTTTCAGGTCTACACCCTCATGCACCATCTTCCAGCCTGGCTTTCCCAGCTTCCTACATAGTAGGAACACGTCTTAGACCAAAATTAAAATATATATGTCAAATGGCTTTGCGATGACTGCTTTTCTTCTCTGCAGTGATCAAACCCCTTATATCCAAAGAAACTACCAGAAATGTTTTGTGAACAAAGGCAGGGCTGCAAAGCCATGACCCCTGGACCAGTATACTCTTTCTTCTCTCTTGCAGAATTGAAAATTTACTACAAGGAGCTGGAGACCCATCTGAATTCTTGGAATGGCAAAAACAGATGCGTGGAAAAGATTTGGAAGAACAGCTGGCTGAAATAGAGTGTAGGAGGCTTCAAGGGAAACTAAGTCATGAAGAGGCAGTTCTAGCCCATCAGAATGTAGTTCAAGAAAATAAGAAGAAAGCTGATCTAATGAGAGAAGAGGTAATACGTACAGTGGTGCTCAAATCTGCCTACATGCAAAACACACCACAGATGGTACCTGCTATAACAAGTGTAAAAGTCCTATACTACATTTTTACTCACCAGAGCCTGCAAACAATGGAAAAATAGTGCTGTCACTTCCAGATACAGCAATGCTTATACATTAAAGTACTTCTTACAACTGTTTGAGCGATAGCAATTACAAAGCAAATTGAATAAAACAGGAGAAAGCATTCTCCCCTATATTCATGTCATTGTGAATATCCTTTTTGAACAGATACTGACACACTATGCACCATTTGCAAAGAAATCATCAATATGTTACTAATTTCATTATATTGTTAAAATGAGAGTCACAAATATGAAAGAACTTGTTTTGTCAAACTGATATAATTTCATTTACATCATATTATCTGACATGCTTAGATCTCTCTAGGGGAAAATTAAGGCAGAGAACCCTCTTTGGATCTATATATCTGGAAAACTGAATATTTATGCCAAGAAGAATTCTCACACAGTTTCCAATCTGGCAAATCACGGTTTCCCAAAAACACAGCTAGAACTTTTCATTTTTTTCCCAAGCACTCATTATATTTTTCCAGTAATTTTCCTATAAACTAAACAACTGATCAAGAAATAACTAGTAGTATAGATTTTACATTTTTCATAGTCACTATCACAGGCTTTTCTTTCATGCTACCCTAGTTTGCTACTGTGCCCCATAGGCCACTCAGTACTTTTCTCTAGGCCACCTCTTATATATGTCTCCACAGTGTTTCAGCAACTTAAGATGGGACCACATTATGTACAAGATTTTCACAAAGGCCATGCTGCAAAAGGGAAACCTGCTTAATGAATTTCTTTTCCATCCCATAAAATCTTTCAGTCTTTTTTTTGGTATTGAGTCTTCATGTCTGTTTAGACAGGCTATAGCAAGAATTTAAGGTAAACCCTGCTGTGTACAGCTGAGCATAGTGTCATCGCTCACACTCATTCCAAAATTATTGTAAATACTATATTCACCTCAGTTTCAGAGCATGCGTTTTATTTGTTAACAGCAATGTCTCAATATGTATGGATTTGGGAATGTGCAAATCAGACCTGACCAATTCCAGGCAGCTCCCTTTGCTTGCCAACAGATGCCAGCAGGATACTTAGTCCATATGGAGATCTCCAGAAGTACTGAGCACCAATTCCCCATTCACCAGCAGCTGTCATTCTGACCTTCCTCCTTCTTTCAAAACTCTAGTCTTCCATCTAAACCAGAAAGTACAGTAAGGAATCTACTCTGGGAAAATCCAGTTTCCTGCTTCCTATTCATTTCCTCTGACAAAGAAAGGAACATGGAAAGTGGACTTTTGTATTTTACAGAGATATGACTTAGGCCCAAGAAGATCCTGCAGGCACACAACCAATTATATATTAGATAATCACTCTCCTTGATATCTCACAATGAGATCCAGAGATGGCTTTTTTTTTACCTGCTTTTAGAAACACGTAGGAGGGAATCCTGAAAAATAGCAATGCACATGTTACGGAGGGCTGTTGTGGGCAAATAACGGAGAGCAGAGCTTAAATCTGGATCTCCATGTTGTCCCCAGCTAATGTCCTTTGCTACTTTTGTGGATAATGTAATACTTTGAATCCAATTGTCCTTGCCCTATTTCAATTATTTGAAACACTCAGATCACCAATTACCAGAAGTTTTATTCACCTGTTTGTCTGGGATTTAGAAAGCAGAGCTGATGCACCAGTATGCTGAGAAACGTCTACAGGAACAGAAAGAAATGCGAGAGCTGGTGGAGCAGGTCGTGGAAGGACACAAGAATGTAAAGGAAGCAAAAATAAAGCTTCAGAAATACAAACAGAAGATAGGTATTTATATATTGCCAGAAAAATGAGCGATGATGCCAAATGCCCCCAGATTACTTCATCTTTCTTTAGTGGGCCAGTTACAATTTTTAGAGAAAGGAAAGGGAAGTTAAGGGAAAGATCCAGGCTGTACATTTCCATGAATGCATGCATATAAATTCCAGGAATAAGTTTGTAATGGGTAGGTTAGAAATACTGGTTGTGGGAATTACTCTTTGTTTAAAAAGGAAAAATACAACGCTCATGTTCTGCAACCATCTTCCCTTCTCTCTGAAAGTAGCAGATGTGAATGACTCTACTTTTTGTCAAATCAAGTTATGAAGCTCAGGTTCTTGTGATTCATATCATTGGGAGGATTTGCCTAGCAACCGCTGTGAAACAATCCTCGCTCAAGATTATTGTCTCCTCCTAGAAAGACAAGGGAGAAGGCTGTAGCACCTCCAAGACAGACCAGTCATTAGTATGAAGGGACATATTGTTAGTCATCCTCCATTACTCTTAAATGAAATTCTTAGTGAATGTGTTAGCTAATGACGTCCGAGGAGAAGGCTGTTCTGACTGGCATGGCTGTCCACATACCACTGCAATGCCATGTTAACATCTACCGTACAAACAGGCTACCTCTAGTTGTGTATATTTTGGTAAGCAGCCTTTTCTCTGCTTGTGTATCTCCATACATGTAGTAGGGGTTGGGGCAGGCAGAGGGTGTTAGCCGCTCTGAAATGGGCTAGCAAAGCCTACCAGCCTTTGCAATTCAGTGATTTCTAGAATAGATATATATAGCTTGAAAAACTGACAATATTTGCTGTTGTATAATATGCTTTTATTAAATAATGAAACTGTATGTACTAATTAGAGCAGAAATTACAAAGCAGTAATTCAAAATGTCTACTTTATGTACATATACAGCATGTTTATGTGATGAATAGAATGGTAGATAGTGGAGGTGGGAAGTACTCATTTGTTGCTTTAATCATTCCTCCCACCAATGCCAGACTGTTCCCTGAAGTACCTTTAGATCAGTATTATTATTATCATTATTCAACAAATGCATATGAATTTTCTGCCAGATGGACTACTTGTTAAAATATTCAACCAGACAACGGAGATTCTTATCTTTCAGTTCAGGAAGTTTGTGAAGAAAATAGAGAACTTCTTCGGCAAGCTTTAGAAGAAGAGGAGGAGGAGCTTAGGAAAAGATATCAATTAATTCAACAAATACGAGCTATTGAGTCTTTACCAACCTTCAGACACAAGTTTGTTGATTTAACAGAGGTAAGCTCAAAAGGAAAAACTACTGGTTTTACATAAAGGTTTACTGTATACGTTTTACACATTCAGAGGAATTGTGTACTGCATACAGATACATCACAGGTTGGATGCACAGCACAAAGTACAAAATGACCCCCAAGGGTTAGATCTGAACTGAAACTTTCACAAAGTTTATAAAATAAAAGTTTTGCCAGGAAGAATATTCTGATGGTAAATGAAATCTTAGTCCCCTTGAACTTGCTTTGAATTTTGCCATATTGGCAAATCTGGGTTTCCCAGTATCTTTCTAAAAGAGACTGGCAAGTGTTTACAACATATTCTGTCTGTCTTCACAAGTTCACAGATTTGTCAGTTCTGAGTAAGGACTAAATGAACACAAAGTTTGGAGTCATGCAGTTGTTCATATAACAGTGGTGACTGCAATGGTAAATAGCAAAATTTATTTCCTTTGCTTTCAAAACTGTCAACATTCAGGTATATGAAAGAGACTGTCAAGAGAACCCAAAACCTGCTGAAAACTTGTACTGTGCAAACAACTTGCGTGTGTGTCGTTAAGTTTATAGTAAATGTATCCCAGACTTCTTGAACTTACTGTTGATGGTCAACAGCTGATATGCCTCAGGCTGAGCTTTCCAATGCCCAGCTTTACAAAATTTCCAGACTTAGGCAGCATCTGGGACTCTGTTATCTTACCACTAAATCAGAAGCAGATTATCTGAAATTACGTTTCCGTTTTTCATAACCACAATGAAAGAATAACATGGAATAATATAAAATGACACTAGCAATGTTAAATTGAATCCTTTTGGTTTTTTCTTTGCTTTCATAAGCATTCAAATGAAGATCACAAATTAAAATATCTATGGTTATTCTGCAGAAAACATACAGAAGGAACAAGATTTCCTTCCATGGGGCTGCTGGAACAGCAACACGATGCTTTGGTTTTCTCTCCTGCTCCTCTGAACAGAACTGAGCCATTCACTGATTCCAAAGCTACCTACTGCCTTTGCAGTCACCAGAAAAATCCCCCATCTCATTTACCAGATTTTAGAATACATTTCATGTGAAAGTGTGAACAAGAACAAAATCAGCTCCCTAGATGTCCCATCCTCCTTTACTCTCCTTGGTTGCCCTTATGGCCGCCGCCATCACTTCTGCACTTCTTTTCCAGCCAGAGAAGGAAATTGCCTTTTTTCAAACACAGGATCACTCCAACCATTGATGGATGAATATTACTGAACCACAATGGAAAAAGTAGGGAAAAAAGTGAAGAGTACAAAGAATTCTTTTACACCACATATATTGTAAACTATCTGCATGGAAGTGCCACACCAATCTACAGGTCTTTTGCTGCTTCAGGTAGAGTTACACCTTCTGCCAACCCTAACCAGAGCCCTGAGCATGCTCTCACTGCACATTTACTACCCACATGGTTAAGTCAGAAAATGTAGCCTGCCACGACACAATGGTATGATGTAGTTGGACATGGAAGTGCCATTACTTTTTCAATCACAACTGTAAAATGGTGCAAGCTCTCATTCAGACAGGCATGTGTCAGAGAGACCAGAATGTCAGTATTGCTGAACCTAGTTCATCTCACTGCAACTTACCAGTGGCTTTTGATTCCTCACATAGAGCTGAAATACTGTTCATTTTTAAGTATAAAATATGCACAGAATACATTTTCCCATCTAGCTCATCTCAAAAGGCAAAGCAGAAAACCACAGCAGCTTTCAGGATATAGATGAAAAAAATCACTGAAAATTCAAGCTTATCCTAGGTGTAAGGTTACTAAAGTATAAGGTTGATCAAAATGGAGTGGCTGTACAGATCATACTGCAAGTACAAGATAATGGACCTGAATGATACAGATGCACTGTTAGATGAATAAGGAACTGGCTGGATGGCCATATCCAGAGCTACAGTCAATTCTCAATGTTCAAGTGGAAACCAATAATGAATGGTGCCCCTCAATGATCTTTATTGGGGCCAATACTATTTAATATCTTCCCTAATGACCTGATAGTGGGATTAAGAGTGATGCTTTGAAACTGAAAGAGAGTATATTTAGGTTGGATGCAAGGAAGACATTTTTTACAATGAGGCTGGTAAGACACTGGAAAGGGTTGCCCAAAGAAGCTGTGGATGCCCCCTCCTTGGTAGTGTTCAAGGCCAGGCTGGCTGGGGCTTTGAGCAACCTGGTCTAGTGGGAGGTGTCCCTGCCTATGGCAGGGGGGTTGAACTAGATGATCTTTAAAGGTCCCTTCTAACCCAAATTGTTCTATGATTCTATATCTCAGCTTCACAGTTCCTTTCTACTATTATAACAGCACTCTGAATTAGCATACTTTTGATGATAGCTTGCCCTCTTTTTTTCTTTCTACAAAAGAAATTAAATTGCTGAAATTAAGTATGTGTCCATAAAATTATCATTCATTCTCATAATTTTTAAGTACCAGTTCTTCCCTTGATGGCACTTAAGTTGCTTGAAGACCAGCATCATCTACTGAAGAAGTATAGGACTCTTCAAATTTTATGAACCACTTCACTGAGTACTTTTGAAATGAAAACACTCAAAATATCCAGCTTCTGCCATTCTATGCCTCTAGAAGCTTCTGTTTCCGAGACCTTTTTGGTGTCTGCTTGCTGTGCCTGAAGACTGCCGCTGGCATTTATATACCCCGTTGCAAAACATTTTCCTTTCACTTCCTGTGAATACTTGATGGTTTAACTTGACTGGTTTAAATTAGAGGCAAGGTATTATAGTACTTGCTATGTGCAAATTCAGTCTAAATTGAAATCTGTGAAAGAGATAAATGATAGTTTACTGTTTCAATAACCTATGATAGTACCTAATTTTTGAAGACATGCAAAAATAAAGACTGCTTAATATTGAATTCTTTTCTCAGTCTTCTACTGATACTACTGGCGACCATTGTTTAGGTCACGTTTGGTACTCATGAGGAGCATGGAAGCAGAAACCACTGTGCCAAAGTTGAAGCATCAGACTTTAGGGGAAGAAACAGCAACGATCTCTTCTTACTGACACAACTTTTGGAGGTTTAGAAAGGGAAGATATGGGAAAACAAACTGCAAAATGAAAATCTTGGAGGAGTCCCCAGGGATCGCCACACAAGACACACTGTCCTTCACTGACAAGCTTGTATCATTAGCTTCTCCAAGCTAAGTCAATAATAGGCTCTCTTAAGCACCAATGTTATAACAGCAGAGAGCCAAGCCTGGTTATTTGTCATACTCGAGTTTGTGGTTCTGTTGCTCCTACCCTCCCACCCTGCCTTCCTGTTTTCTTCATCTTTCTTGGGGTTCCCTCTTGTTTCATGGACCCACTGTTCTGAACAGCCAGAGAATGGTCGCTAAAGGACCAGTACCTGACTAGACTGCTTAGATGGTATCCCAGACCAGAGAAGACGGACTGGAACCAGGTCAATTCTTGCAGCCAAACTGACAATCTGGGTACCTATCTATGATAGAGAAGCCTTCTCTTTTCCTGCTTTTGTTTTCCCCTTCCTCTTCACTTTCTGTTTTGTGAAAAGCTCAAAAGCAGAAGGGTGAGTACGATTCTGTCAACAACATGCACAGTGTTCAATACAAAGTTGCTTTTTTCCTGTTAAAAGGGCTTGCTTGAAAAAGAAGGTCTTTTAAACTGAATATTTTCTCTCCATTAGAAGGATTATAATGAGTTTTTCTTGCATATTTTTATCATTACCATTTGGAGAAGTGGTTGTTCTTTTGGATTCCACACCCTTTCCAAACTTGATCCTTTCCAAACTTTGTCATTGATTTTCAGTCACTAGTTCTATGGGACTAAGTACACCAAGGTCTTTGTGATTAAATCCTAACCAGAGTTTCAGTCTTAATGTTACACAACTGTACAGCAAAGGTCAGGTTAGCATCTTGACTTCCTTCAACCATATATTCCATTATGACGTGCCATGGTACAAGATACGCAACAAAGATGTGGGCCAAAATTAGGTTAAAATAAAGAATATCAGTTGGGGTGAAATAGATTACATTTTGCAAAGAAAGCTACACAGAAGCCAGTATTTGTGTAGGTTTATGCAAGTTTTCCATATACGTGGATGTGCAGATAGAGAACGGGAGAGTATATGTAAGAGCAAGGGCCAAAAACTTCAAATGTTCACAAATCTGTTTAGAAAGGACCTTCATATGCTAACTAAGGTGCAAAAGTCTCTCATTACATTTCAGAATCAGGCTCATTATCACTCTCATTACAAAGTGGCTATTAAAAAGCCTTCATTAAAGAGTCAGGTTTGAATATTTTAACTTTGGGCATTATAATCTGAATTTCCTCAGTATAAAGCATTGTTTAGTCCTAGTCTTTTCAGACAAAGATAGTAGATGCCATCACAGATCAAACCCATAGTTTGGAAATAAATAAATACAAAAAAAATGTGTTTTTTCATATAAAGTCTGTTCTGGTTTTACAGACTGAAAAAAAAAAAAGGTAGTTTTACACATTTTAAAATTTCGAGTCTAATTAAAACTAAAACATAAGTCAACAAGAATTTTTTTTTGAGAGCAAATATGTTACATCTATTATTAATCTACTGTATATTTCAATGATTTTTCATTAATTGTTTTATGAGCTTTGTGTTTTTACATACACCAAAGATAAGCTTGTGAATAACAGGTTGGGGTAGCCCTGTATTTCTTGAAGTCAAAATATATTCAGCACGATTTGGAACCCACTCAAAATATTCTGGTTTTACTCATTTGCTCTCCCCTTGGTATTTACAGTGTTATTTAAACCTGTATTTCATGTTCTCTAGACTGGTGGCCATGGTTTAATTTGTGAAATGTCAGTAGTGGAACTACGTGAATGCCTTGCTCTACTCAAAGAAGCACAGAAGGCAGCAGAGGAAGAGAAGAGAGACCAGATAATTCATGAAAAACAAGCTAAGGAACAACTTCTTCTAGACAAACTGGACCAGATTTCCATGTTCAGAGCAGAACTTGGGCGAGCAGCTGCTTTAAAGTCAGTATAAAACAGCATGTGACATTTAAGACATTTCAACTTTGTTAATATTTTGCTAGCCCCTTGAGGAGAAAAACAAGTAGAGAGCAAAATACTGCCCTTTTATAAATCCCTGCGACTTTTGTCAAGGATTACACTGGGGCCAGGATTTGCTTTTTATTCTTGAAAATAATTTGCATCAGATTTAACAAATCTTTTTCTTCATTTCTGGTTGGAGACACTGCGTAGGCTAGTGTTGACAGTATTGCCCCAGGATACAGAGCCAATATTATATATTGAGAAAGAAGTTGTTCCTTTCTTCTGTTCCTTTTCAGCTAATCAAAACTAATTTGACATTATTAGAATCATTCTAGCTTGCCATTTAAAGTGGTTTCTCATTTTCATCTAAACCAACACATTAGGACTATAGTTTTCTTCTTTGAACTTCATTTGTTATGTGAAAAGGCAGGCCTTATTCTAGAAGTTAAAAATATTTTAGGAAGGAGAATTTCTGATAACAATAATAAATAATAAATTAAATATATCATAGCAGTAGATCAAAGAGAAAATTCTTTGCTTACAGGCTCTCTGATCAAATTCTGTATTCATTATTCATATTTATTATTCATTATCATATTTATTATTCATTGTCATAAAGGATCCATAACCATCATAGATGGTTCACATATGCAGAAGACAGGGCCCTTCCACAAAGAGTTTAAAAGTTAAGCTATTTTCAGATAAAGCTGAGCAGGAAGAAAGCCTGTGTACAAAGTGTAAAATATGGCACACCTTTTGACCTTAGGCCATTTTGTTCATCTTGACTATTTGCCATTGTTTTCCTGCAAGTTGTCTTTCAGCTTTTCCATTTTGTGGGTTTGAGACATTAGTCCTTGTCTTGCTATAATTATTTTGCAAACAGCTGCTCAGACTGACATTCTGAAGACATATTCAATCAGGCTAAAGACACTTTAGATGTGTCTTAGATTCATGTTTATTGCTGAGATACCAAAGGTGTCTTCTTAGGGTTCAATCCATGTTATTGACTGATCACCCAGTTCTAAATCTCAGTTATAGAAGGCAGTATTGACATATTCATTTAACTAGTTTTCACTAGTACCAGCTGTTGTTTGGTTTATTGCTGATAGTTAATCTCCAAAGACTGGGGTTTTACTATGTTAATAAGATAGCTTAATGAATTTAATGAATCAATAACTGAAGCTGCAGAGGATTGCCTGCATAGATCAGTGACCGTCTCTTCTGTGGCATGTATTGAGAAAAGATTTTAAGACTAAAGAACCTGAAATGGAGTTGGAGCTCGAAACACACTGTTGACGCTGAACATTCAGTGTCATGAAAGCCTGTGGGAGCAACTCAAGCCTCTGCTTTCCACTAGACATGCAAACTAGGCATTAAGAACTTGTATACTGCAACAAACCTCTACTAGTAACTACTTAAAGAATTATTTGTAATGCTAGACGTGCAGTCAGTGAATTTTGTATAGCGCTGAGTTCCTTTAAAATACTCTTTGGCTGAATTCAGGTCTAGAACTGCTCTGATCTGAAATAAGCTATGCTTGAATGACAAGCTAACATTGATTCACTTTTTGTCCTGACATTTGAAATGTTTTTTAGAACAGACCAGCATGCCAAAGATGGTAGAATCCAAATGAAATTAAACACTTAATTTGCAAGCTTCTAGTCAGACTCATGCTAAGTAATGCAGTAATTTTAATGGAGCCCTGTTTGCTCCCCAGATAAAGAAAACATGAAGTTTCATTATAGATGTTAAAAGACATTTCCTTTCCTGGCTCCCAGGCAATCTATGTACGTAACTCAGAAGCATCTATTATAAAGAGGCATCATCAAAGTATGCCAGAAATGTTTGTTGGGAGTGTGTTTCATGCATTTTCCTCCAGAATCCAAACCAATGGTTTATTTCTGTTAATACAGGAATACGGCATGCCAGCCTATTTACAAATGCTGGACACTTTGCTGCAGCTTTTATTTCTCTCTAAAGAAACTATAGGCTTTATATGTTAAACCTGATTTACAGATCTTGAATCCTGAAATATCTATCAAGTCAATGTGTGTGATTAATTGCTTGGGTTGTATTATTGATACGCTGCACAGGAGGTGTAAAAAGCAAATTTTGTTTACAGAATCAATTCATAATTATAGGGATAGAAGAGCAAATCTTAGAGCAAAATCTTCTCAAATAGAAGAGCAAGTCTTATGCATCAATATCAAATCACATGTTATTTCTTAAATTGCATTATGTGGAAGGCTACTCCTAATCAGCTGAAGTGTGGTGGTGAAGCTTTGCTAAACGAATGTGCTTCAGTTAGTGTCAGCTGGAGTTTAATTGGGTCCCTACCACGCAGGTTCCTTTCAATATCATTTACAAACAGACATACATCAGCACAAAGGCAGCACATTGAGCAAGCATATAATGAGCTATATTAAACAAAACAGGAAATGAAACATGAAAAATTACAGACATCAGCCTTTAATAGGCTGCAGGCCATGACATCCATCACAGCAGTGGCTTTATGAGTGCTTGCAGAACACTTAAGAATCAATTCAGTATATATGCTGCGCATCCCTTTAATTGCTAGTATTTCACACTGTCTGAAAATTAACACTGGCACATGAAGTGGACAAACATTTGAGTTCTTTGCTTTCAAATATGAGCACCAAAAGATTTATGAGTGATTGAACACATGCTAATGTGCTCAAGTTACGTGCCTGTATAGTTCAGGTACAATTCCCTTTCATCCCAGTGAGGCTACATTTATTACTGCAAGTAATTTAACACACCAAGCAACAGATCACACCAGTTGGTGCTGAGGCTACATCCATCCACTTTGTCTGTGGTTTGGGGAGTTTTACTTTGGGTTGGATATAGTGCAGTTTTGGGACTGCATGCTCTCACCATTCAAGTTGTTTAAAGCTGTCCAGAGGAAAATTATCTCAGCAAACTTCACATACTCAATTCCTGGCTCCTCTGCGAGCCCGTCGAGCGAGCCCCACGCTATCCTTTTGTTTGTCACACAGATGACAGTAGCACACCAGTGCCCCCACCAGCCAGTGGCACATACACAGGGCAGATGATAGCCAGCTTTGTTTCAGTTCTTTCTCATGTTCCTGCCTGGTTTTCTTTCCTGCTCATTTTCAAGCCTCAGGATGGTGCCTGCTGCCTCTCCCCCTCCCCAAGTCAGGGCAACAGCTGCAGCTCCAGAGTGACCCTCTGAACTTACACCAGGCCTCTTTGACTTCCTTGCATATAAGGAAGATGCACAGACTCCCACTATCACCACAGTTTGCCACATCCCCATCTCACACTGTGGTAGTGGTGGAGCCCACTGGGTCTCAGCACTGGCTGGCAAATGATGGTGTGTTTATAAGCACTCCTCTCTCTCCCTGACACTGCCAGCACTCAGACACCTCCTTGGCAAGGGGCACTGACCACACACCAGTGTAACACCTCTCTGGTGGACTGGACTGGGAAGGGGTGGAAGTAGTGTAAAGGCAGCCGTAGCAGAAGGACAGGCTAGTTATGAGGAGGAAGGGAACAAGCAGAAGGAAAGGTTATGGATGAATAGCTGTGATGGTCCCTTCCAAGTAGAACAAGTTCCCTAAAGCAGGTGGTCCCTGGAGTGTCCAGGCCTGACTTAGGTGGATGAAAGCTTTCTAAGTGAGGAGGGGAGAATGAAGCCACATCCTCCAAAATCTGTAAGATACCCTGGCATCACAATCCTGTGGTGCAGTGTACAACTGAGGGAAGGAGCAGACTGCACGTGGAGATGGAAAGATGTAACAGGGGAACATATGCCATGCTATCCCTATGTGTGGCTGTTGCTTAAGATCTTCAAAACCAGCCTGGAGTAATGAAAAAAGCTGAATAATTAGCAACGTAAGGGACTTTGATTTACTACTTCATAATATTTGTGACTTCATTAATTTGACAAATTTCATAAATACTTAGAGTTCTGTATGTGTTTGCAGCGAGGAAGTATGATTTAGTTTCTCAGTGCCTACTACTGGAAATTCTTCACTAATATTGAAATAGAAGGAGGAAAATTATCAGCAGTGGTTGATCAGAAATACGAAGATGTGAAGAGAGGCTTTAAAGAATACAGAGCCAGGCTCTTCTCAGTGGTGACCAATGAAAGGACAAGAGGTACAACAGGAACCACAAGAAGTTCCCTCTGAACATCAGGAAATACATTTTACTGTGCAGGTGACCAAGTACTGCCACAGGTTGCCCAGAGAATCATAGGATCATAGAATCTGTGGAGTCTCCATCCCTGGAGATACTTTAAAGACATCAGACATGGTCCTGGGCAAACAGCTCTAGGTGGCCCTGCTTGAGCAGGTAGGGGTGGACAAGGTGACCTCCAGAGGTCCCATCCAAACTCAACCATTCTGTGATTCTGTGAATGAACTTTGATTATACAGATTCATAATCTTATTTCAACTGAGTAACAGGGTTATGAATAACGATCACTTGCCCACCTAAAATTAGGTGCCTAACAAGGTAGTTGTTTTGAAAGGGAGTTAGATTTTGAGTGGTTAAATCCCTCACATTTGTACAAAATAGTAATCAATCTAATAGTGTGGTGTTCTTAAATATCAAAATAATGAACTTAACAGTTGAATCAGCAATGAACTCTTAACAGTTAGATACATTCATTTATCTTCACTGCAATAACTAGGAATTCTATAGTGCAGGACAGAAAAAAAAGCAAGATACTGTAAAGTACAGACAGCTGTAATCACTGAGACTGAGAGTATGAGGAGGTAGAGAAAAAAAGTTTATTAAGGCAATCCTACTTCTGCTTTTAAAAACATATTTGTGTTTATTGCATAAGACTCCATTTTGTAAGGTGAACTTTTAAGTACAGTCCTAGTTGCTTAAGTTGATATTTTGGTGTCTAGAATGGTCCAGTAGCCATTTTTACTCCATCTCCTACAAGTATTGAGTCCATTAAGAGCCATCACACATCTTTCTCCATATACTTTTGATGTCCAGCTGGAGTTTGAAAAGGTAAATGAAGACAAAATGTTGTTTTCAGGTGGAATCCTTTGTGCAAAACTTCAAATAAGCCATTTTTTAAACATAGCTGAGAAGACCTAATCCAACTGTTCCAAGTGTTTTCATTTCCTTCAGGAAAACTTTTACTGATGATATTTTTATTCTCTCTATATTAAAATTCATAGTATTTACTAAGGAGATCATTGAGACAAGAAATATGGGATGTCAGCTGAAGTTTATGGTGCCTGGAATATTATATTAAATAGAAAGGCACTTGCATTTTACCCATCACTGATGGAATTGTTCTGTACTTCATCATAGTGATCCAAATCTTCCTGCTGTTGACTGTACACACAACTTACATGGCAAGTGAATAGAGAACGAAATCAGTGGTAGATAAAGAAATTTTAACTGTTTGCTTTTATATCCATGTTCTGTTCAGTCTTTCACTAATCCCTTACTTTTCCTCCTCTGAATACAGACTCATGAATACATACACTCCACACTACTACAAACGTCCATAAGCACATTCAAAAATTTCACCTCATTCCTTAGCACCAAAAGCTACTTTCTGACAAGGTCACTAATGAGTGAGGGAAGGAACCAAGAAAATACAACTAGCGTGAACCATTTCAAACACATACAGACGTCAAAAATATTGCAAATTTTTTCAAACCCTTTGATAGGAAAATAGTTTTTTAAAATGGGAGACTCACAAAGGGTCAGAAGACTCTTGTCCAGCACTAGAAGAAAAGAAAATGAACAAATTCTCTTTTGGAACAAAGATTTAACGTTACATTTTAGGAAGCAGTATGATTCTTAAAGACTGGTTTTCATTCAAGGTGCTCACTCAATACTAATAGCTGGTAAATAAACTCAAAAGTAAAATTAAAATGGTTTCTGTATATTGTATTCAGAAACACAGAATTTTCTGTTGAATCTGGAGAGGATTTTTCTTACTATGCACTACCCCATTCTGATTAGCTGTTACCTTCCATCCTTAGGAAGTACATGTTATGGGGGGACAGAGATCATATGAGCTTTTTCTGTCTAAAGTCCTCCAAGTTCTCAATTGACCATCACAGAAAACCAGCATTTTAAAATGTCTTTTTTAATTTTTCCCCTCTTTGAGTTTCTGTTATGATGTGGCATCTGAAAATCTATAGGACCAGCAGCTTTTTGGAGTAATGTAGATGACTGGCACATGAATTCATGTAGAAGAGAACTGAGTATTACTCTGAGGATGAGCAACTATTTACAATGTTAATTCAGAAGCAGCTGCTGCTTCTTCATTATGTTAAACCTCTTGCTGTATTTCCTGTAATTGTATTTACAAGAATCTGGATTTGCATGTAAGGAAAGGTTTTGTTGCTTATTCCCACTGACAATATTTAATCATCAAGTATTTACATAAAAACTTATTGTTACATTCTCCTCTATCCCTTGGAATGCAGTGCTTTGTTACAATGCATATCTAAATAATCCATGTTCTCAATTTGATTAAGTGATAGTACATAATTTCTAGGTTTACAGAATAGTGTTAAAAATTAATCTCAGTGTAGCAGAGTATTTCACAGTATTAAGGAGCATAAGGAAGTGTTATCCTAACCAGATAGCATGACACAAACAGCCGAGATTCAGGAAGTGTCTCAGGAAAACAACTGGAAATGAGAAGCCAAGCTAAACGGTGCCCCTTATTTAGAGTTCGCAGTCACATTTCGGAGTGTTCCACAAGTCAAATCCCCCCTTCATCCAGTTCCTGAGGATCTGGGGAACTCTAGTCTGGAAGGGCTGCTCCGAAGAACGCCTGCTCTCATGGAACGGTTCCCACTAGCAAAGATGAAGCTAACGAGGCAGAGAAAAGCCATCTCACCCAAGATGAAAGAAGTGTTTGGATCCCTGGAATCTCAATACAGACACTTTTTAAGGCAAATTGGTGGGTTTAGCATCAGAAGGAACTTCTTCCTTCTACCCCTCTCTCCAGCTCCTTGAGAAGAAGGTGTCTTGTATCGAAAACACTGTGGTACAAGACTCAAGAGGCAGGGGAGGAGTTATGTTGTAAAACATTTCCAAGGGGCAACCTGTCTGTGAAATTAGTCGCACTAGTTATAGTATCAGCTGAACAGTGCCCCACTACACTCTGCTCTTGGTCATTTGGAATCTTAATCTGTTTTCCAATAAAAGCAATTGTAATTTTGTACCACCGCAATATAAAGAACCTTTTATAAACCTGTCCTTGCCAGCTGAAAGAAGGCATCAGATCTAACCTGGTTATACACTACATAATTACATATATTCTTTGGTAGCTCTGATGTTTACTTTAGCTCCAAATCTGGCCACAGAGTCACAACTGCTTGTGACATAACATTAATACCACAGCTTGATCATACTGGGCCAGATTGAAGGGCAATGTTGAATAAAACGGAAAGTTGGATGTTAAGTGAAACACTGTGTAACGTGCAGAAGTTGTGAGTAAATTGTGTGTGTTGGATGACAGTAAGCAAAAACAGATAAAAAATAAACTCCCGGGGACAGAAAAGTAACTGCAACAGAAGGGGAAAAAGGGAAGACTATCCAATAATTTCTCTCTTATGCTTTACTTTTATGCTGCACATGGTGTTATCAATTTATGCTCACCTAGACCAGCTAACCTTAATTAATACATCACCATCCCACAGATTCTGAATCTGCACATTGAGATTACACAGAAAAGAACATCCCTCATTTGCCAAGGAATGCAGCAATCGAGATGAATACTGATGATCAGAAAGGAAAACTCCTTGGTTCTCCCAGGCAAAAAGCTGCAATAATATCACAGGTTTCGCACACGCTTTTTCTAAAGAATGTCATGTCAGGCTTGAAATACTTCAGATGTTGTCATCAAGGCATCCTGTGGGAAGAGTCTGTTCTATACTGTTGAGTAATGCTGTTCTGCAAACAACAAGAAGCAAGCTGTGAATACCACATTCAAGCTATATGATTTAAACCTGTTTTGAGTCTAGCCGGTTCCCAGAAACAACAGCAAATTCATTATTATCAAGATAATACATGCTCAAATGGAATTATTTTGTGGGTTGATACTATTTTACCTTCTCATTTCTTCCTTTTGATTTTGCAGGCAAGAAGAAAAGAAAAGAAAGTCCCAGTCTGGTGAAAGGCCTATGAAAGATGAACGCGTTTTAAACCTCCAGAAAAAGATTGTAGAAAAAGCAATGGAACGTAAAAAGCAAGAAGGACTTTTAAAGATTAGCCCCCAGAAAGCCAGCATCGCATCAAGGAAGGTCTGGGAGTTACATAAGGAGAAAATCTCTGCCATAGACCTGCTGTTCACAGACCTTTGCTCAACTGCCAGCACTGGCAAGGGGGGCTGAGGCAGATGGTGCCTTACGTGACTGGCAACACCCTGCTTCCTGCATAGGCACCAGCTCTCCAAACCATGACCTTGACCTCACCTTCTTGTCACATATTCTGCTACCACAGAGCAGGGCTCATCCCTATGACACCTAGCTTCCCACTCTTGTTCCCACACATTCTCCTCCCATCAAAACGGCGACCTACCCCCGTCTCCAGCTCTTGTCCTTCTCAGCTTCCTGTCACACACATCCCATTAGACCAAACTGGGATGCTCGCCTCCTCTCTTACCCAGGGCTTGTTACAGTTTTTGCCTTCCCTTTACCCAGCCTGGTCCCACATCAGATGGAACCACCAGCAGGCCTGTAGGCTTCATGCTGGTTCACACTGGTCATATTTCCTTGGCAAGTGTCTAAAGGCAAGAAGTGAGGAACTGCTGCTCCTGCCACCTCTGCCAGTGCCTCGTGCATGGCAAACACTTAGCAGTGGTTTGTGTACCAGTAACAGTAGCTGCACCACAGCGCATGAATCACTGCAAGGGAACAGGCAGGACTGATCACTTTTAAGAGCTGGGCTAGCCCAGTATAAAATTAGAACTAAATCTCTTAATCTGTTAAAATAATAATAACTCTACCTATTTTGTGAGAACATGAGATGAAGAGAAGCTCAATGAAAAGGAAAACTGTATTTTTCAAGTGTGTAAAGTTTAAAAACCAAAATAGTGCAGTCTTGCAGAGTATCGATGTTTGATGCCTTCAGAGTCCCCATTTCAGGCAAGAAAGCACATTGGTGCTTATATAGACCTTGAGGTCTATCCCTTTTAGCAAAGAAAACATTGAAAACCAATGTGAAGAAAGCATTTCCTAAGCTGGGATGGCTTTCTGAACTAAGGTTTGGAACACAAGCTTAAACACCTTGCCAAACGGAGTCCAGAGTAAAGCAGAAGCAATAAACGCAGACTTCAAAGCAAAGCAGCCATATTACAAACATGAGACATTTAAAAATAAACAAAGAACAATTATAAATTCAAACTAGGACTTTTGACTACCTGATGTGGGTCTGTATTAGTGCTCTGCTGTCATATGAATGAGCAATAAAGCCAGGGTGTTGAAGTTGTTTTGAAGTTAGATTTTGTCCTTTTCTTGAGCTTAGCTTTACGAAGTAAATGTCTTCAGATGTCACAGTGGGTTTGTTTACATTCTGCTCAAATGTTAAGACATCTGTAACAAAAAAAAAAGAAAACAATAGGAAAAAATCAAGGTTACTGTAAATTATTTAGCTGTTTTGGTCTATCTTCCATCAGTGCTGTTCAGCTCTGCGTGACCCTGTCCAAATGTTGCCACAGGGAAGTGGCTCAATCCTGGTCAGATACAGTCAGCAACATCTTTACTGTACTTGACTTATATATTTCTGGAAATGGGCTAAGTGTGACCATAGGAAAAAATTCCTTCCTTTGTTATAGTGCAATAGTTATTTGGCATTTAGAATGTACCTGCGTTTTAGGTTCACAGAATCATAGAGTGGCTTAGGTAGGAAGGGACCCTAAAGATCATCTAATCCAACCTCACTGCCATGGGCCTCTCAACCAGACTAGGTTGCTCAAGGCCTCATCCAGCCTGGCCTTAAACACCTCCAGGGAGGGGGCATCCACAACCTCTCCAGGCAATCTATTCCAGAGTATCACCACCCTTATACTGAAGAACTTCCTCCTAAGATCTAGTCTAGGGTCCTCAGTAAGTAGAAGAAAAAGTGACACTAACCCCTTGTATTAAAATTCAAGATTGTGGCTTCAGTTACATTTGTGTAGACTGTGTTTGTGCTGATGTAAGCCAGGGTAGTATTTATATATAAATCACTATTATATTTTAATAAAACATAATTTATATTCCAATTTGGAACACACAAGAAAAATAATCATTAACTTAAAACCCAGTATTTTTCTACCACTTTAAGCAAAGAATCAGATGAAAAAGTAGCAGTTTTCTGTTTGTTCTCAGCTTTTTTTTGCAAATGCTGTCTTCTGAACTCAGCTTTTGAGTCAGCAGACCACTGGAGTCTCATAGGATTTGTGCAACTATTCATTTATGGCTTCAAGAATAAACTGTTGGCAAAGAAAGAAAGGTAGCAGCATTGCAGCAAACCATCCAGACATGGTTTTGTCTTGACTTAATGTTTTGTGAAGTGTTGCAGCTGTCTGTAATTCATCTTAAACTGGGCAACCCCCTCGAGTTAGGTTTACTATTCATTACACCCAGTTTGATGTTGACAAGTTTCCCACTCATGTTAGCAAGTAAACTGCGTTGCCAACCAGCCAGATGATCAAAGAGAAGTTCAGTGTATCCTCTAATGAGAACCACCGTATTAGCTGCAGTCTGATCATCTGTGTGTCTTTTCTGCAGGATTCTTTGCAATGGAACCACTGGAAAGAACTGGAAGAGAGTCGGGAAAGACAGTTCAAGATCCTTCAGCATGGCTTCATGGCCAGAGAAACAGCTCAGAAAATGGCTGCCTATGAGGCAGCAAGAAGCAGAGCCTCAGTCTGTAGATTGCATTCTGAAGTAAAATAAATTCATCTGGGACAAATTCGGGCCTGCTGGAAATCTCCCACTGTGCCTATTGACTACAAGGTTGAACTTTACTCTTGATTTTACCTTTACAGTGTGATTAGAAAAATTAGGGGCATAAGGCACAACAGAGGCACAATAGAATTAAAATGTATTTTTTTTTGTAACAGAATTTTATTTTTATGGTAAAAGGACACTTTCATTTTTCTGTTAGAATCAAAAGCTTTAAGAAACCAAAACCTTACTATTGGAGCTTCTACAGAAGAAGGGCAAATACCTGGATAAGAATGTTGAGGTCTGCATTTCTGTTATCGTTTTATACTATGTCATGGTTTGCTGTGCTCATCTTTCCAAAGAATAAAAATTAGGGCAAAACCCAAGCAGCATTCATGTGCACAGGCATCTTTTGAGTCAGCCCAAGTTCCTAACACATCGTCTTACATGACAGCAACTGTGCAAAAGAAGATCACCAATTTCAACACTGGTTTTAGTGGATGAGGGAAAAAATGTTTGGAAAGTTTAGATGTTGTGATAGCTTCTGGGAGCCCGAGTCTAGATTCAGTGACCCAGACAGACCATCCATCTATTCACAGATGTGAATCTCTTCAGTCTTTAAGCAGTGAAAGGAGAGCATAGCATTGCCTGTTCTCTTTAGAGGGCTGCTTCCAGAAAAAGTCAAAATTCTGTTACTCACCTAGAAAACAATTTGTCCTCTATGACGATCTCTATACTGTGTAAAACAGGCTTTAAATAACAAGACTTATTCTAGGCACAACGCCAAGGAGGATATAAATCTGAATTAAAATCTGCACAGCAGTAAGACTATGTAATGTATTTTTATTTTAACTCCATGCCAGTTACTAAGTGTTTAATTATGGCTACTGCAAATATTTAAATTGAAGGAGACTGTTGCTGACATTACAGTCAGGAAGCTGCTTTTAATGCTCTCCCAACATTACGTTCCTCACTCTTTCCCGAAGGAAGGCTAATGGAATTCTTATGTTGCCATCTAGCTGTGAAAAGCACTTCCACAATTCTCAGGCTGATAAAGTGTGCTGTGTTTTTCATTCCAAGTAAATGCTGCAGCAGACTACGAAAGCGATGCCGGGCTCATGCTTCCTAGAAAGAGGTAAGGAACACAGGAGAGTGAAAAGAAGGAATTATAGCAGGGATAGTGCAGAGAAGAGGGAACACATTATGACTAATAGGGGAGTGCAATAGCTTAAAACAACAAACCCTTGGTGGCAGGGTGTTTATTTTCCTTTGCAGATGTTCAGCATTCAGTTGTGTTGTATTCCAGAACAACAAAGCCAAGTGGTGACCAAAACACGTCAGGCTTCCAGGAGCTAGCAAGTAACTGGGCTGACGGTTGTGGTCTGGGATACGTCACGTGGCTGAACAGTGCCTCTGAACTTTTTGATGAGTCTTGCATTTTGAGAATTTAAAAAATATATACAATTATCATTCAGCAAACAGACAGGCAAGTGTGTTTAGGTAGGTGATATGGAAGTTTCAAAGCTACATCATACCCCATGCTTCTTCCCAGGGATGTTGGACCCAGTTTTCAAAATCCTTACAGAATTGCAATCAAGCTTGATTCATAACTGTTTCCTTCTCCACATTTTCACTGCTCTCACATGAAAGGACTGAGGACTAGAGGAGTCTCAATAATCCAGCAGTGGAATTTTTACCTTCAAAAGTCACAAATAACCCCATTGCTACTTCAGGACCTGCTGCAAAAAAGTCATCTTCAGCATTGATGTTTTGAGGAGTGTAAAATTATGTGAGTCTGTCAGGAAATATATCAATATATTCCTATGCTGGTATTTTTATATCCATATAGCCTTGCCTATTGATTTTTCAGTGATGGCAGGTCTTGCAGCAGAATACACAGAACAGCATTAAAATTACCACACTCCTGATAAACATGGATAACTTGATGTTGGAGGCAGCAGATCCTCCCCAGAACCACTCTGCCTCTGGCCACTAGAGTACCTTCTCCAGTGTTCCTGCACAGCAATGCCGCACACAGAAACGTGAGGCGATGCGGGGCACAGCCAGCAGAGCTCTGCAGGCCTCCTTAACGCTGCCTTACAAAAGCAGCTGTAACAGTACTGAAGCAGTACAGCTGCAGTCACACTGCTGCCTCAGGCACTGTCTGCACCACAGACCATCCACAACCTGCTCAACCCACGGACAAGTAAATGAGAGTCAGAACTCCTCTACACTTACGGTGCTTCACGAAAAAACACAGGTGGGTGACCACTTTGTGATTCTTTTACACATTTGTCACAACAAAAAAAAATGAGGGTAAGTGAAAAAGGCTGACTATTAAATCATCCAACAAAACAGGCTTACAAAATCAGTGGTTTAGAAACCCTCCTGGTGCAGAAAGCTGCACATTGCAGAGATCTCATATTTCAGTGTAAATGTCCAGACCACAAAGGCCTTCTCCCAGCACTGTGGTGTAACAAGGCATAGTAAGACCCAGGTTACCTGAGGAAGCTGGAGGGGTTTCAGCCAGGGGTTGGGCATCAGACACAGGGTGCTCAGCCCTCGTGTAACTCTGTCACTGCTGGGTGGCACTTGGCTCCATCTTCCAAATGAGCCTTGATAGTGGGGCAAAGCCCACACTCAGTGACTGCCTGGTAATCCAACCTGCCATAGAGAGTGCAGATATTTTGTTATTTAAACAAAACCAAAGACCCATAGTTATGTTGGAATGGCAAAATAAAAAAAATTACCTGGTACAAATTTTGAGTGCTGTTCACCCAGGCAAGGAGAAGGCAAGACAAGTCACTGGAAAACTCTACACATTTATCTACAAACAGCCAAGCACCCAGGCATGGGGCAGTAAGGTCCAGGTGATCCTTGCATTAAGACAAAGCAGTTGGGAAAAACACTTTTCGACGTTGAGTCAAGGGCACAGAAACACCCCTGCGATTTTTTATAATATAGAGGATCTGGACTAATTATGCCACAGTAACAATCCCCCAGGCTTGTGGCTCTGACAGTTTTGCTCCGTGCGTTTGGAACACTTCCAGAAGACTGGCATGAGCAGTAACGTGCCCAGTGCAGCAGCACTGCAGAACACAGCAAAAGTGCGGTCCCGCCCCAGCCACCCCTCCCGAGGTGTGTGAAGGCGGAATAAGCCCCAGCACCTCAAAAAATCCCCTCAGCGGCCTCACCGCCCGCCCCGCGCAGG